CAGGTACTCCTCTCAGGTACTCCTCACAGGTACTCCTCTCAGGTACTCCTCTCAGGTACTCCTCACAGGTACTCCTCGCAGGTACTCCTCTCAGGTACTCCTCTCAGGTACTCCTCACAGGTACTCCTCGCAGGTACTCCTCACAGGTACTCCTCTCAGCTACTCCTCGCAGGTACTCCTCTCAGGTACTCCTCTCAGGTACTCCTCACATGTACTCCTCGCAGGAACTCCTCGCAGGTACTCCTCGCAGGTACTCCTCACAGGTACTCCTCTCAGGTACTCCTCACAGGTACTCCTCGCAGGTACTCCTCGCAGGTACTCCTCGCAGGTACTCCTCTCAGGTACTCCTCACAGGTACTCCTCTCAGGTACTCCTCTCAGGTACTCCTCTCAGGTACTCCTCTCAGGTACTCCTCTCAGGTACTCCTCACAGGTACTCCTCGCAGGTACTCCTCGCAGGTACTCCTCACAGGTACTCCTCGCAGGTACTCCTCACAGGTACTCCTCGCAGGTACTCCTCGCAGGTACTCCTCACAGGTACTCCTCTCAGGTACTCCTCGCAGGTACTCCTCTCAGGTACTCCTCACAGGTACTCCTCGCAGGTACTCCTCTCAGGTACTCCTCTCAGGTACTCCTCACAGGTACTCCTCGCAGGTACTCCTCACAGGTACTCCTCGCAGGTACTCCTCTCAGGTACTCCTCGCAGGTACTCCTCTCAGGTACTCCTCGCAGGTACTCCTCTCAGGTACTCCTCGCAGGTACTCCTCTCAGGTACTCCTCTCAGGTACTCCTCACAGGTACTCCTCGCAGGTACTCCTCTCAGGTACTCCTCTCAGGTACTCCTCACAGGTACTCCTCGCAGGTACTCCTCACAGGTACTCCTCGCAGGTACTCCTCACAGGTACTCCTCTCAGGTACTCCTCGCAGGTACTCCTCTCAGGTACTCCTCACAGGTACTCCTCACAGGTACTCCTCGCAGGTACTCCTCACAGGTACTCCTCGCAGGTACTCCTCGCAGGTACTCCTCACAGGTACTCCTCGCAGGTACTCCTCACAGGTACTCCTCGCAGGTACTCCTCGCAGGTACTCCTCACAGGTACTCCTCTCAGGTACTCCTCGCAGGTACTCCTCTCAGGTACTCCTCACAGGTACTCCTCGCAGGTACTCCTCTCAGGTACTCCTCTCAGGTACTCCTCACAGGTACTCCTCGCAGGTACTCCTCACAGGTACTCCTCGCAGGTACTCCTCTCAGGTACTCCTCGCAGGTACTCCTCTCAGGTACTCCTCGCAGGTACTCCTCTCAGGTACTCCTCGCAGGTACTCCTCTCAGGTACTCCTCTCAGGTACTCCTCACAGGTACTCCTCGCAGGTACTCCTCTCAGGTACTCCTCTCAGGTACTCCTCACAGGTACTCCTCGCAGGTACTCCTCACAGGTACTCCTCGCAGGTACTCCTCACAGGTACTCCTCTCAGGTACTCCTCGCAGGTACTCCTCTCAGGTACTCCTCACAGGTACTCCTCGCAGGTACTCCTCTCAGGTACTCCTCTCAGGTACTCCTCACAGGTACTCCTCGCAGGTACTCCTCACAGGTACTCCTCGCAGGTACTCCTCTCAGGTACTCCTCGCAGGTACTCCTCTCAGGTACTCCTCGCAGGTACTCCTCACAGGTACTCCTCGCAGGTACTCCTCTCAGGTACTCCTCAAAATTACTCCTCGCAGGTACTCCTCTCAGGTACTCCTCACAGGTACTCCTCACAGGTACTCCTCGCAGGTACTCCTCTCAGGTACTCCTCACAGGTACTCCTCGCAGGTACTCCTCGCAGGTACTCCTCACAGGTACTCCTCGCAGGTACTCCTCACAGGTACTCCTCGCAGGTACTCCTCGCAGGTACTCCTCGCAGGTACTCCTCACAGGTACTCCTCGCAGGTACTCCTCACAGGTACTCCTCGCAGGTACTCCTCACAGGTACTCCTCACAGGTACTCCTCACAGGTACTCCTCACAGGTACTCCTCTCAGGTACTCCTCTCAGGTACTCCTCACAGGTACTCCTCGCAGGTACTCCTCACAGGTACTCCTCGCAGGTACTCCTCACAGGTACTCCTCGCAGGTACTCCTCACAGGTACTCCTCACAGGTACTCCTCACAGGTACTCCTCACAGGTACTCCTCTCAGGTACTCCTCACAGGTACTCCTCACAGGTACTCCTCGCAGGTACTCCTCTCAGGTACTCCTCTCAGGTACTCCTCTCAGGTACTCCTCACAGGTACTCCTCGCAGGTACTCCTCTCAGGTACTCCTCACAGGTACTCCTCACACGTACTCCTCACAGGTACTCCTCGCAGGTACTCCTCACAGGTACTCCTCGCAGGTACTCCTCTCAGGTACTCCTCTCAGGTACTCCTCACAGGTACTCCTCGCAGGTACTCCTCACAGGTACTCCTCGCAGGTACTCCTCACATGTACTCCTCGCAGGTACTCCTCACAGGTACTCCTCACAGGTACTCCTCTCAGGTACTCCTCTCAGGTACTCCTCACAGGTACTCCTCGCAGGTACTCCTCACAGGTACTCCTCACAGGTACTCCTCACAGGTACTCCTCGCAGGTACTCCTCACAGGTACTCCTCGCAGGTACTCCTCTCAGGTACTCCTCTCAGGTACTCCTCTCAGGTACTCCTCACAGGTACTCCTCGCAGGTACTCCTCTCAGGTACTCCTCACAGGTACTCCTCACAGGTACTCCTCACAGGTACTCCTCGCAGGTACTCCTCACAGGTACTCCTCGCAGGTACTCCTCACAGGTACTCCTCACAGGTACTCCTCGCAGGTACTCCTCACAGGTACTCCTCGCAGGTACTCCTCACAGGTACTCCTCGCAGGTACTCCTCACAGGTACTCCTCGCAGGTACTCCTCACAGGTACTCCTCGCAGGTACTCCTCACAGGTACTCCTCGCAGGTACTCCTCCCAGGTACTCCTCGCGAAACTCCTCGCAGGTACTCCTCACAGGTACTCCTCTCAGGTACTCCTCGCAGGTACTCCTCGCAGGTACTCCTCACAGGTACTCCTCTCAGGTACTCCTCGCAGGTACTCCTCTCAGGTACTCCTCTCAGGTACTCCTCACAGGTACTCCTCGCAGGTACTCCTCTCAGGTACTCCTCTCAGGTACTCCTCACAGGTACTCCTCGCAGGTACTCCTCACAGGTACTCCTCTCAGGTACTCCTCGCAGGTACTCCTCTCAGGTACTCCTCTCAGGTACTCCTCACATGTACTCCTCGCAGGTACTCCTCGCAGGTACTCCTCGCAGGTACTCCTCACAGGTACTCCTCTCAGGTACTCCTCACAGGTACTCCTCGCAGGTACTCCTCGCAGGTACTCCTCGCAGGTACTCCTCTCAGGTACTCCTCACAGGTACTCCTCTCAGGTACTCCTCTCAGGTACTCCTCTTAGGTACTCCTCTCAGGTACTCCTCTCAGGTACTCCTCACAGGTACTCCTCGCAGGTACTCCTCGCAGGTACTCCTCACAGGTACTCCTCGCAGGTACTCCTCGCAGGTACTCCTCGCAGGTACTCCTCGCAGGTACTCCTCACAGGTACTCCTCTCAGGTACTCCTCGCAGGTACTCCTCTCAGGTACTCCTCACAGGTACTCCTCGCAGGTACTCCTCTCAGGTACTCCTCTCAGGTACTCCTCACAGGTACTCCTCGCAGGTACTCCTCACAGGTACTCCTCGCAGGTACTCCTCTCAGGTACTCCTCGCAGGTACTCCTCTCAGGTACTCCTCGCAGGTACTCCTCTCAGGTACTCCTCGTAGGTACTCCTCTCAGGTACTCCTCTCAGGTACTCCTCACAGGTACTCCTCGCAGGTACTCCTCTCAGGTACTCCTCTCAGGTACTCCTCACAGGTACTCCTCGCAGGTACTCCTCACAGGTACTCCTCACAGGTACTCCTCACAGGTACTCCTCACAGGTACTCCTCGCAGGTACTCCTCACAGGTACTCCTCGCAGGTACTCCTCACAGGTACTCCTCACAGGTACTCCTCGCAGGTACTCCTCACAGGTACTCCTCGCAGGTACTCCTCACAGGTACTCCTCGCAGGTACTCCTCACAGGTACTCCTCTCAGGTACTCCTCGCAGGTACTCCTCTCAGGTACTCCTCACAGGTACTCCTCGCAGGTACTCCTCTCAGGTACTCCTCTCAGGTACTCCTCACAGGTACTCCTCGCAGGTACTCCTCACAGGTACTCCTCGCAGGTACTCCTCTCAGGTACTCCTCGCAGGTACTCCTCTCAGGTACTCCTCGCAGGTACTCCTCACAGGTACTCCTCGCAGGTACTCCTCTCAGGTACTCCTCAAAAGTACTCCTCGCAGGTACTCCTCTCAGGTACTCCTCACAGGTACTCCTCACAGGTACTCCTCGCAGGTACTCCTCTCAGGTACTCCTCACAGGTACTCCTCGCAGGTACTCCTCGCAGGTACTCCTCACAGGTACTCCTCGCAGGTACTCCTCACAGGTACTCCTCGCAGGTACTCCTCACAGGTACTCCTCGCAGGTACTCCTCACAGGTACTCCTCTCAGGTACTCCTCACAGGTACTCCTCGCAGGTACTCCTCGCAGGTACTCCTCACAGGTACTCCTCTCAGGTACTCCTCTCAGGTACTCCTCGCAGGTACTCCTCTCAGGTACTCCTCTCAGGTACTCCTCGCAGGTACTCCTCTCAGGTACTCCTCGCAGGTACTCCTCTCAGGTACTCCTCGCAGGTACTCCTCTCAGGTACTCCTCGCAGGTACTCCTCTCAGGTACTCCTCTCAGGTACTCCTCGCAGGTACTCCTCGCAGGTACTCCTCTCAGGTACTCGTCTCAGGTAATCCTCTCAGGTACTCCTCGCAGGTACTCCTCTCAGGTACTCCTCTCAGGTACTCCTCTCAGGTACTCCTCTCAGGTACTCCTCGCAGGTACTCCTACGTGATCCAAGCAGTAGACGCTGCCACAGCCCCCCCATGTGCCCTGTGTCCCGTTGCCTCATGTGTTGTGCCCCATGTCCCCATGCTCTGAGTCTATCCCCCCATGCCGTGGTCGTCACTGTGCCCGTCACAGGAGCACCTTGGCCGGGACTTCTGCACGGAGTACGAGCGCACCAAGTGGGCGGCGGACAGAGAGGGGTGGTGAATGGTGGTGGGAGACGCAAGCAGAGGGTAAAAACCCGCAAAGCATGCCTCATCCCCTCCGCCCCTCTCAGGAGCACACGGGGCGGGACTTCTGCACGGAGTACGAGCGCACCAAGTGGGCGGCGGACAGAGAGGGGTGGTGAATGGTGGTGGGAGACGCAAGCAGAGGGTAAAAACCCGCAAAGCATGCCTCATCCCCTCCGCCCCTCTCAGGAGCACACGGGGCGGGACTTCTGCACGGAGTACGAGCGCACCAAGTGGGCGGCGGACAGAGAGAGACGATGGGTGGTGGGTGGTGGGAGACGAAAGCAGAGTGAACAAACTCTCAAACCATGCCTCATTCCCGCCGCCCGGCACAGGAGCACACGGGGCGGGACTTCTGCACGGAGTACGAGCGCACCAAGTGGGCGGCGGACAAGGTGGCGAGGCGGGCGGTGGAGAGCGAGGGGCTGGACGTGGTGCTCGTGTATCCGTGCGTCATCTACGGACCGGGCAGGATCAGCGCCTCTAACCTCGTCGTCAAGATGGTACGGGGGCAACTACCATGGGCGAGGTCATGTTGCTTGCTTGCAGGTTATGTTAACACCTGTGCACTCTACCCGCCCTCCCTACCCCTGCCCCTCCCCTCTCTTGTCGGACGCCTCCTTTCGCTTTCCTCCCTCGCTCATGCTTCTCCGACCAAAAGTTCTTCTCCCACCCTCTTTCATGCCCCCCTGCCTTCCTCCGTCCCATTCTCAACGCTATGCCACACCTTTTTCCACCGATTTCGCACTTGTGTCCCCCATGCCACACCATGCAACGCCATGCCATCCCGTCCCACGCCACGCCATCAGATCGCGGACCACTTCCAGGGGCGGCTACCGGGGCTGGTGGGCAGCGGCACGCGGCTCAACAACTTCGTGCACGTCAACGACGTCGTGCTCGGCCTGCTCGCCGCCCACCACCGCGGCACGCCCGGGCGGCGCTACATCCTGGGCGGCGAGAACGCGTCCATGGTGCAGCTGTTCCAGGCCGTGCAGCGCGCCACAGGGAAACCCCCCCCGCGGCTGCGCCTGCCGCTGTGGCTGGTGGCGGTGCTGGGGTGGGTGTCGGTGATGGTGGCGAAAATGGGCGGACCTATACCCATCTTCACTCACCAGGTACCTGTGTGTCTGCCCGTCTGTCATCGCATGGGATGGGAATAGTGAGTGTGGTTGCCTGGGGCGGGTGACTGGGGTGGGCGTAACGCAGCCTGTGCCCACTGCTGCTGCTCTCGCTGGTCTTTCCACAACTGGGCCGACAAGGGCCGCCCACCGCTCTCTTTCTGCCTTTCATGCCTGCTCACTCTCTTCAACGTGCCTCTCCTCTTTCCGACCATCCCCTCTCCTCTTTCCGACCATCCCCTCTCCCCCTCTCCAATCACCAGTCAGTGCGGGCGTTCAACCACGACAGGGCGTACAGTAGCGAACAGCCCGACTCACCCCTCCATGCCTGTAATCCCTCTCTCCCCCTTGTCTCTCCCCCTCCCTCCCCCAACCGCCAGTCAGTGCGGGCGTTCAACCACGACTGGGCGTACAGCAGCGAGCAGGCACAGCAGGACCTCGAGTACTCGCCGCTCTCCCTGGAGGAGGGCCTTCGAGACACCCTCACGTGGATGCGTGCTGTGGGGGCTGTCACGTACATGCTAAGCTAATGCGCCGTGCAGGCAGCAGGCGGTCCAGCCAGAGTGCACCTCGAGTACAGGCATTCAATGTACTACTAGATGAGGAGGTGGGTAGGCATTCAAGTGCGCCTGGGGCTACAGCAGGCAGCAGGCATGGCAGGTGCTTGTTGGGGTGCACGCAGGCTGTACGACAGCGGGCTTGTAGTGCTCGTTGCTCTCACGCGAGGGGCTTTAAGACACGTTCTCATGGATGTGTGTGGGTGGAAGGTGGCCTCTCAAACACTAGTGGCGTACATGTGTTGCACATGCGGCATGTGAATAGCCCCCAGCTTCTTGATTTGTACATTTGTACATGTACATTCGAACGTAACGCAGCATGTTGCACCTGGCAATGGCTTACTTTTCACCGCTTTACACCCCTAAGAACCCTTAACATCTAAGCCAACTTGGCTCCAAACCCCTTCGAACCCCTTGGAGCCTCTAGGCTCTACTCTACACCTCTTGGAACCCCTCAAACCCCTCCGGAACCCCTCTAAACCCCTTCGCAATAACATATATTTCGCGGGACGAGGGTCGTGTCGCCTTGGGGCGAAGGCGTGTGACTGATGAGAAGAGCTGCCTGCACGCTGCCACATAGGCTGGGGGGACGGACACGGGCGGGTTGGGAATAGGTGAGAGGGGGATGGTTGCATGCCGAGTGTGGATGGGACAGAAGGAGGGTGGCTGGGGACTATCGATGGGAAGAGGTGGGATGAGGGGGGGAGGTAAGGCGGATGGGAAGAAAGAGTGTGTGGGGCAGGCACACTGCAAGGGCCAGGAGCAGTAAGACAGAGAAAGGGTTTCCAGAGACGTCAGCTGGTAGAATGAATCTGGGAGGCTCGAGATTGGAAGATGGTTCAGCGTCAGCACTTTCAATTCGGGCAGGCTGACCATGTCGCACGAAAAAATAGTCAGGTCACGCAGGCAGCTTAGAGAAGCGAATTTGTCGGGCAGCTCGGAAATATTACTCCATCCCCACATGCTCAGATGCCGAAGGCGTGGAAACCGCTGTCCGATGTCATCAGGAAGACGTGCCATCTCGCTGAAATTGTGACCTTTAAGAAGCAGCCGCTCGAGACGGCTGAACGAGGCTCCCGAGGGAAACATCGACTCAAATCGCGGACTGCACGCGTCAAACTCCACCGCTTTCAGCCAAGGCAGCTGGGAGAATGAGAAGGGATGAGAGCTGCCGCGTCCTAGTTTCACATATGTGTGTTTTACAATGGTGCAACTGGCAACAGTGACCACTCGTTACAACAACGCACCTGCTGTGCTGCCCGCATGGCCTGCCACCTTACCTGTTGTGCCCCCACTCCCCCACCGTCACACGTGCCCCCACCGTCACACCGTCACACGTGCCCCCACCGTCACACCGTCACACGTGCCCCCACCGTCACACCGTCACACGTGCCCCCACCGTCACACCGTCACACCTTTGCACAAGGGGTGTCGGCCCTCTCCCTCCTACCACACCAATACCTGGGGTATCCCCACCACTGCCCACCACTGCCCACCACTGCCCACCACTGCCCACCACTGCCCACCACTGCCCACCACTGCCCACCACCGCCCACCACTGCCCACCACTGCCCACCACTTCCCACCACTGCCCACCACCATACCTGGAGTGTCGTCACCCTCCAGCAGCTTCACCACCATGTGTCCCCCCACCGCCAGCACGCCCCCCTGTGCTGCTGCCCCTCCCTCCTCACACACCACTGCCGAACGCCCCTCCGCTTCCCGTCCCCCTCGCACGCGGGCACCTGGTCTCTCTACTGCCTCCGCTGCTGCTACTGAGTCCGCCCCTGCTGCTGCCCTCTCTGCTCCTGCTCCTGCTGCCGCGCCTGCCTCTCTTGCGGCTTCCCCTGCGGATTCCCTTGCACCTCTGCTTCTGCTCCCAACCACGCCTGTGTCGGGATAGGCTGGGTCTGGGTGTGAGCGGTCGTGGCCCCATGGGAGTGGGTGTGCATCCGGTTTCAAGTGTGTGTGGGGAGGTTGGGTGCTGTGCGGTTCCGAGTGCGTGTGGAGGGGTTGGGCTGCGAGGGCGAGAGCACGGAGCGCAAGGGAGTGGGAGGCGGCGACGTCAGAGGGGGAGGCGCCCGAGGTGGATGGGCACATGTCTGAGAGCAGCGTGGTGAAGCGCGGCGAGGGGGAGGGCGAGTGGGTCTGGAGTGGGGGGGGAAGGGAAGGAGAGGGACGGAATGGGGATGGATGGGGAGGGGTGGAAGGGAAGAAGCAGAAGCAGTTGAACGCATGTGAGGGGGAGGTGCCTGAGGTGGAGGCATGTCTGCGAGCAATGTGGTGATTGGGGCTGGAGTGGGGGGGGAGGGAAGGGATGGGATGGGGATGGATGGGAAAGGGAGCGAGGGCATATGCAGTTGGACGCATGTGATGGGGAGGCGGCTGAGGTGGAAGGACCCATGTGTGCAGCAGAGTGGTGAAGCGCGGCCAGGGGGAGGAGGAGCCGGGCTGGAGGGGAGGGAAGACGAGGGGAAGGGAGGGTTGGGATGGGGATGGGGAGGCAAGGAAGGGAAGAAGCGAGGCGAGGGGGAGATGGGCACTTGTGGGAGAGGAGCGAGGTGAAGCAGGGTGAGGGGGAAGGAGGAGTGGGGCTGGGGCAGGAGGTAGGGGATGGGGAGAAAAAGGAAGGCAGAGAAAAATCAGTTGAATTTTTTGGTATGAGAGAAGGAAGCGGTGGAGGTGTATGGCACGTGGGTGAAGAGGGGAGGTGGGGGGGGTGAGTGGGCGGGATTGGATGGGGAGGATATGGAGAAAGAAGGCAATGATCAATGGCTGGACTGGAGGCGACAACGAGCGTGAAGGTGGGTGCCAAGGAGAGAGAATGGGATGCAGCAGCAAAGGGAGGGAGGGCACGTGCCTGCAGGGAGGAGAGGAGGCGCAGCAGGAAGAGGGGAGAGAGGGTGAAGGCGTCTGCCTGGATAACCTGCACCCGCCCGTCACACCACCGCTGCGGCACTGATGTGCGCTGATGGGGGGGTGTGGCGGTGGGGAGAGGGGAAAGGGTAGGAGGGGTGGTTTAAAAGACATGATATAAGAGTGTTGTGACGTGTGTGGAAAGAGGGGGGATATTGTAGGTCAGGAGTGGGACAGATTACTGGAGAGCGATGGTCGCAAATGAATCTAGAGAGCGCACCTGAATGTCGACGCCAATGACACACCCGCCTTGAGCTATGGGCCCCAGGGCCTGGCATGCCACCTGTGATGTGATGCACGGAGGACATGGGCGCACATGGAAGGATGAAGGCATGGTCGCGAGCATGTTGGCGGCACAAGTTGAGTTGAGACATGGTAAGATTGAATGTATGTGACGTCAACCATGGAGTTGCAACGACCCCTGGTGTGCTGCCATCCCGCATGACCGGCACGCAACAGCAGAGATAGCAGCATGCGGCACATTCCACCCATGGCAGCACATACCACCACAAGGAGTGGCCATTCACCCATGCATGTCTCCTCACTTGCATTGCATCGATGCTGCACCCATCACCTGCCCCCATCACCATGCATCACCATCCCTACCACCACCTGCCTGCAGCCATGCCCCCAGGCAGCACCCCAGGTCCAGCACCACGCCTCCTCCTCTCATCACCATGCATCACCATGCATCACCATGCATCACCATGCATCACCATGCATCACCATGCATCACCATGCATCACCGTGCATCACCATGCATCACCATGCATCACCATGCATCACCATGCATCACCATGCATCACCATGCATCACCATGCATCACCATGCATCACCGTGCATCACCATGCATCACCATGCATCACCATGCATCACCATGCATCACCATGCATCACCGTGCATCACCATGCATCACCATGCATCACCATGCATCACCATGCATCACCGTGCATCACCGTGCATCACCATGCATCACCGTGCATCACCATGCATCACCATGCATCACCATGCATCACCATGCATCACCATGCATCACCGTGCATCACCCTGCATCACCGTGCATCACCATGCATCACCATGCATCACCATGCATCACCATGCATCACCATGCATCACCGTGCATCACCATGCATCACCATGCATCACCATGCATCACCATGCATCACCATGCATCACCGTGCATCACCATGCATCACCATGCATCACCATGCATCACCATGCATCACCGTGCATCACCGTGCATCACCATGCATCACCATGCATCACCATGCATCACCATGCATCACCATGCATCACCATGCATCACCATGCATCACCGTGCATCACCATGCATCACCGTGCATCACCATGCATCACCATGCATCACCATGCATCACCATGCATCACCATGCATCACCGTGCATCACCATGCATCACCGTGCATCACCATGCATCACCATGCATCACCATGCATCACCATGCATCACCGTGCATCACCGTGCATCACCGTGCATCACCATGCATCACCATGCATCACCATGCATCACCGTGCATCACCATGCATCACCATGCATCACCGTGCATCACCATGCATCACCATGCATCACCATGCATCACCATGCATCACCATGCATCACCGTGCATCACCATGCATCACCATGCATCACCATGCATCATCATGCATCACCATGCATCACCATGCATCACCGTGCATCACCATGCATCACCGCGCATCACCGTGCATCACCACCATATCACCTGCCTGCAGCCATGCCCCCGGGCAGCACCCCAGATCCAGCACGGCGCCTCCCCTCTTGATCACCGCGTGCCGCCGCTGCACCTCCTGCAGCTGGGGATGGGAGAGGGGGAGAAGGGAGGGTTAGAGACGGGGGAGAGGGGGCAGGGGAGGGTAGGGGAGAAAGGAAAGAGTTGTGTGCTTGGCTCACTGCACCTCCTGCAAATGGCGGAAGAAAGAGAGGGGGAGGCGGACAGGGAGGGAGAAGGGAAGGGGGGGAGAAAAAGGGAATGGTGTGTGTGTTTGGCTGATCCGCTGCACCTCCTGCAGCTAGGGGACGAAGGGGAATGGCGGAGACATGGGGGAGAAAGGGTTGCGGAACGCGAAATACCTGCAGCGATAGGCGCAGCACCTCCTGCGTCTACACTGGCGGAAGGACGTGCCCGCGGGGACGGGGTGAGGGATGCCGCAGCAGGGGCAGCGCACGCGGAAGGCAGAGGAGACAGGGAAAAGCGGGGGAGAGCGGGCAGAGGGTTTGAGGACGGGGGGAGGGCGAAGCGGAGACGCCGCCCCATGGATGGGTGGCGCTGCGCGGACCGAAGCAACTACAAATGGCACGCGCCGTCCGCGGTTGCTACAAACGCGGTTCGCGCGGCAGCCAGTTCTACGCTCTATGCGGACGCGGCTAAAGAGTCGAAAGTCTACGCAGCGCTGACGCGGCGCCACGCACGAGGCACGCGAGAGCGCACCTTGAACGCGGAGCGTGCCACGTAGCCGAGGCGGCGCGCCTCCTTAAAGAAGAAGTCCTGCGGCGTAAAGCGTGCCATGGCCGCTGCGCATGCCGCCGGGAAACGCGGCTTCGAGTGGATGTGGGCTGAGGTTGTACGCTCAGCGAAGCTTTGTGGGTGAGGAAGATGGTAACACTGGCACCGAATAATTTCGCAGAGTGGGAAAGCTGTAGTTACCGAAATACCATCGCTTGGCGAAATGTTTTCGATAATGAGTGTGTTGCTTGGCGCAAAAAAAAATCAATTTGAACGAGTACAAGTACAGCAAAAAAAACATTAAATAGCAACAGCTAATACAAACCAGCATATAAGCGATTGGCTAAAATATATCTATGTAGAAGATTCAACACAACGAGCAGTTATGCTGATGCTTGCTTGCAGCTCACCCAAAACAAATCAGTCCGGAAGAAACAGCACCAGCGTTTCTTGATGTCGTACCAAATGAAGCCATTACATTGGAGCCTTCATGATTGTAAGCGTCTGCACGTGCTCCAGAAAAATGCTCCATGGCCCGTCGCCAACGAGCAGCGTGTCGCCGTCAGCGTCGGTGTAGGTGAGCTGCCAGGGACACGTGGCACCTGCTGAGGGCTGCTGCAGAGGCAGCTGCAGCATGGCTGCACACGTGGCGTACAGCGATTGGAAGCTGCCGATGCCACTCAGATCCACCGTGCGCCCCACTGGGCTGCCCTCCACCCGCAGCTGAGAGGAGCAAGGAGAGGGGAGAGGAAGGAGCACAAGGTGAGGAGTGAGGGGTTGCCATACACGTCCATGCCTCCATGCATCCATGCATCCATGCATCCACATAACCATGCAACCATGCTTCCCCTTGCCTCGATACACTTCAAACTCGCATCGCCTCACCTTAATCCGCCTTCTGTTGGCCGCTCGGGATGGCGAGGGAGACAGCTTGCTGGGCGACGCAGGCTGTTTGGAGGGGGAAGCCGTCTGCCCATCCATGCTCTCCGTCCCCCCTGCTGCCTGCCGCTCGCCACTCGCAGCCCGCTCCTCCATTGCAGTGCGCTCCGCGTCCCCGATGCTGCAGCTCCTGGGGGTGCCGCCACTGGCAGAGCTGGGGGAAGAGGGCAGCGTGAAGAGACAGCCGTGGGAGGCAACCACAACACCAGCTGCACCAGCATGAGCAGCAGAGGTGCCTGCAGGCGGCATGGCGAGGTCGCTGTCAAGCGTCGTGTCCGTCCTCTCGGGTCGCTCGGCGCGCAGCAGGCGGGCGACATCCGACTCGGAGTGGCACGCGTGGCGCAGCACAGGCAGGGCGAGGCCTGTTGTGCGGCGCCGCTTGAGGCTCGGGGAGGAGTGATCAGAGGGCGGCGAGGTGGTGGAGGCGGAGAGGCCGAGAGAGAGCGTGAGATGCACCGCTCCCTCCTGCTGCTCCCTCTTCACGCCGCCCTGCCGGGCGCCTGCAGCAGTGCCAGCAGGAGTGGCGTGAGAGGCATAGGCGGTGCGGTCCGGTGCATAGGCTGTGAAGCCCCCAGGAGCAGTGAGGGTTCGAGGGAAAGCCGGAGATGCACGGCCGGCAGCGGCTGTAGCAGCGGTGGCAGGGGTGGCGGTTGTAACCGACTCTCGAGACCCGCTGTACTCCATGGCAGGCTGGGCTTGCGACCAAACCATCGCATCAGGCTCGGCGTGGCCAGGTTCGGAAGGCAGGGGCCGTGGAGGAAGGGAGTGGTTCGGGAGGAAGGAAGTGAGGGGGGTGTGAGAGAGGGGGGCAGTGGAGGAGAGGCGCAGAGGGGTGGGGCCCCAGCTGGCCCCATCTCCATACTGTCCCGCTGTGAGGGGGGCGGCAGGGGTGGCAGCAGCACTTGACATGGATGCAGGCAAAGTGGTGCCGGCAGGAGGAGGAGAGAAGCAGTGCTGCTGCTGCTGCTGCTGCTGCTGTCCATGTTCAGGAGGAGGATGCATGGGAGCAGCAGCGGCAGGAGCGGAGAGAGACGGCGGAAGGCAGAGCGGGGGCGGCGGGCGCGGAGCTGAGTGTGACAGCAGGGCAGCGCCAGCAGCAACGGTGGCGATAGGGGGCACAGAGGCGAAGGTGGTGGAAAGGGGGGCGGAGCCAGAAGTGACGTAGAAGGAGGAGCAGGGCTGGGCGAGGGTGCGGGCGTCGTCAAGCAGCCAGGGGGACAGGCGCGTGGGCTTCACTGCCCCGTCCGTGTCGCCCCACTTGATCTGCACGGAGCGCCAGGGCGAGGAGGGCCACGTGGCAGAGGGCGAGTGGTGCAGCGAGAGCACGGTGCCACGTAGGCGGCGCGTGGCGAGGTCGTCGGTCTCGAGCGTGAGGCGCACCTCGCTGCCCGGCTGTAGCGCCGCCTTCACGTGCAGCCCGCGTGTGAAGTCGGGGAGGGGGATGACGAAGGGCGTTGAGGCGCTCACCCTGCCATGGCGGGAGAAGGGGAAAGGAGAGGAGAGAAGTTAGGAGGGGCGAAGTGTGGAAGCTGAATTGCCAAGGTCGAACGGGGACCCGAGAAGCTGACTCAGCATGACAAAAGCTGACTCAGCACAGTTGCAAGCTGGCTCACCATGGGTGGAAGGTGACAGAGAAGGCCGTGCGGCGGCTGTAGCAGCGAGCAGCGGCGGCCAGCACAGCATCAGCAGACGCCACCTCCGCTAGGCCTGGGGAGGCTGCGGCGGGCGCCATGGCGGCGGGGTCGCCCACGTGGTCAACGTCAAGGGAACACCGTTGAGCGTGGCGCGCCTGGCGCTGCGCCTGCAAAGCCGCCATGGCCGCCTCGCTGCGCCGCACCGCCACCTTGAGCGCGCCGTGCCGGTTCCTGTGGGGGTGGAGGAGGGGAAGGGGGGGCGAGGGGGCGGTGAGCTGGGTGATGGTTGCGCTGCGCTGTGCTGCGACGCCTGGGAGGCGAAACACACGACAAATCCGAGGCTCTGAAGAGACAATTGAGCGCACCTAAGGAAGACGATGCGGTCGCCAGCAGCGAGGCCCCAGGTGGCGGAGAGCGCGCTCCAGCCGGTGGTGAGCAGGTGGCGCTTGGGCGTGCCGCGGTACACGTGGCGGAAGAGCCACTGGTTGCCCAGCACGTCCGTGGCCGTGATGCGCTGCGATGGCACCGACTGCGTCATGTCCTGCACCGCACCGCACCGCACAAGAGGGAGCGCCAAGCGCACACACAGAGAGCACGGAGAGGAGGAATGAGCGCGACGAGATGGGAGAGTGCACACACACACGCAGCACGAAGAGGAGCTGAATTATGAGCGCAGGACAGTCAAATTGGACGTTGAAGCAGCCTTTCACACGCGCGGGTGACGGCGCAGAGCGGCATCCAGGTGTCATACCAGGTGGGGGAGACAGGCCTCGGCGGCCTTGCGCGGGATGGAGAACCCGCCGTGCGTGGACGTGTCGCTGGTGGACAGCCGCTTGCAGCACACGCGGTCCTGCTCCGTGCGCGCGTACAGCACCCGGCTTCCGCTCGCCGCTGCGCCCGCGCACGCTGCCCGCGCCTGCTCCTCCGCCGCCTCCGCCTGCCGAGGGAACGGGGAACAGAGGGAGCGGCAGAGCGCGGAAGGAGTTAGTGATTACTCGGTATTGATTGCCGACACGGAACAGCAATTGGAGACGAATTGCGCTTGGGACATGAGAATGAGAGTGTCGAATTGGACGGAAAAGCGTCGACGGCCCGGCGTACCTCTTGGATGGGCTGTAGCTGCATGGTGGCTAGCAGCTCGTGCGTCTCGACGTCAATCTGTAGTACCACGGACTCCAGCCGGCAGAACATGTGGCTCGGGGGCAGCGCGGCTGTAGCGGCGTCGCTGTCGTCGTGAGAGCTGCCGCGAGTACTGGCACAGTCGCCGGAGCCGCCTTCTCGCATTGCTCCCGCGGCGGCTGTGGCGGCTGCGGAAGGCGTATTGTGCGGCGCTGCATGTTGCGGATCCCATTGCCGCTGCGCTTCGTCGGACGCGGCGCAAGATGCGCTTCTGGTCTGCAAAACACGAGCAGATCAATCGATCAATGGACTGTAAATCGGGACATTCTAGTCGCCTTCGGCAAACAAACCTGTCAAATAGAACGAGGAGACTTAGCGGCAAGGTACCTTAAGAGAACGTGTGAATTCCATGTGACATGATGATTGAATTATGTGGAAATAAAAAAGTTTCGACATCTTACCTCAGCCAGTAATTGCTGTTGCTCCACGTGTCCTTCTGGAAAATACACCACGACAGATCCGACGGCTGGGAGTGTCACGAGAGGCCCGGCGCACGCATGCCACAGCTCCACGTCGTCAATTGCCCGAACAGTCGCTCCCTGATTCTGCGCCGTCATTTGCGACGCAATTGACGGAGTTGTTGCGAAATTTGGCGCTGATTCGTCCCCTGAAGGCCCGTGTTGAGAGGGAAATGCCGGCACGCGAAGAGTTTCAGCGTCGTGTCGCGACGACGAATCGCTGGATCCATTGCTGCCGCTGTTCAGCGTGAGAGGCGGCGTCAAATTCGGGGAGGGAGCTTTTAGCAATTGGACAGAATCGTCGGACGTTTGGCAATGGCTTAAACCGATGGGCTTCCAAAACGAGCCGAGGCGCTGAGGAGGAGAAACGCTGGAAGCAAATCCAGCGGCATTTCTGGTGCTGGTAACACATTGCGGAACAAACAGTGCAGCGGTGTCACTGCTTGTGACAGCGGTAGACATGACGAACAGATGCGATGCGAGTGAATTATGCGAAGTGATCGAATGACGAGAAGACGGCTTATGATACGAAGTGAGAGAATGAGAGCGTATGAAGAAGGAACGTGAACTGACGTTACAGCTCGCTGAAGGAACCGGAAATAGCTGTGGGAGGGGAGGGTGCAGAGACAAGTGCGGAAGTGAGGTAAGCTGGTGGGACAGGAGGTTGCGCAGAGGCAGAGAAATCGGCGGGGAAAGAAAGGTAATCCTCCCAGGATACTGTTGCTGGTGTTGTTTGTGTTGACCTGACTAACGCTGCCCGTTGTGTTGTCATTTTTTCCGGATTTGGAAATACAGTACAAATCCAACCGAAATTCTTCTTCATCTATCATTTTCTGGCCGTCCTCCGGTTGAATGCCCCTGCGATTCATCCCAGTGTAGCAAGGGAAATGTTGAATTTGTTAGCAATTGTGAAATCTCCATCTAGGGCAGATGCAAACCCACACAACGAAACCATATCTATCAAGCTGCTGAAGAGCAATGACAACGGTGTACCAGTCTACACTACACTACACAGACACGGACTGTAGAGTTGAGATGGGGTTCACTTCCACGGTCCACCTGCCAAGCGTCGGAGCGAACACAGTTCCTTCTGTATATGCCTCCCACCGCCGTCCCGACTGCCGAGCCGATGAGCGATGATGATGAGTCTGAGAGCACCTCCAATTCATCTGGGTCTGTCCTTCACGTGTCTGGTTGGAGTTTGGTTGGATGGACGACGACGAACCGATCCCTTCAACATGACAAAGCCGCACGGGTGGCTTCTGTCCTTCAATTCGCCAAACTGAGCCCGCAATTCCACATATTCACCGCTATGGAGGTTGTGCTAGTCTCCAGAAACTTTCGCGTAACACCACCAATTTCCGAAATTGAGGGTTTTCTCCCAATCAGAAACTGCATTCAATGGTGGACACAGCGGGGCTAGGCTGGTGCCGGAAAATGGAACGGGGCGCAATGCTGCTGTGAGTCCCAGAATAAAGTTTCTGCTCGTCCCCTCTCCGCCAAAACCCTTCTCCCTACCTCATAAGTTCCCCCATCCCCCCTCCCTCACTTTCTGTGTGGCCCATGATGAAGTTGTTCTGGTGGGGTCACTCTCTCTCTCGGAGTATGTGTACTGTACCTTCAAGGCAGCCTGCGACTTGTATTGCAACATATCACACCACACCACACCACCTCTTCATCTGTATGGTTCCTGAATTTACGGAAGCGATTCGACAAGAACAGACGGCCGCGGCGCGCACAAACGGCTACAACTCAAGCCAGCTTGCCACTTCATATAATTATGAAGGCAATTCCTTCACATGCCCACTTTCAGTTGCACTTACACCCTCTAAAAAGAAAGATAGCACCGGCTTGTAAACTGCATGTCTTCCAAACCTACATATTTTCAAACTGACTCGCCCTAACACTAACAGTAGAGATTTGACCTCTCGAACTCTCTGGTATATTGACCTCATCATCTTCAGTTGCTTCTTGAGCATCAAGACGAGAGGTGAGGTTCATCCCGAATGTTTTTTGCGTCATCCCAGAACTTTGCAAGATAACAGGTACACAGTCACGGTGGTTTGATTCAGGTGTAAAACAACTCTCCAGTGAAACACCTCCAGAAACTTTCCACACCAGCCCCTGTCAGAACGGGAAGGCTCTGACAGCTGTTTGCTGCAGCCGGCTTACAACACCCGGACAGAGACAAGATTGACAACTGGGACGATACGTCTGCAAAAATCTTCAATATTTTCACACCCCTTGGGCAGCAGTACCTGGTTTAACCGGTACCGAAGGGTTTTTCGGGACAATTTGTTTTTAGAAGAGTGAATTTCCCAGACTCCTTATACGAGTGAACGAACACAAAGCGAGTCGCAATGAAAAGAATGGTCGATGCGCTGTGGTCACAGAGCAGGAGTTCAAGGACATCGACATATGACAGAATCATCATTAGCCCCTAGTTCCTGGGTGCTCATTGAACATGACCGAAAGTGTTTGGGGTCTGAAAAACGTATCATATCCTGAAATTGGCTGGGACCAGGTGTACAATTGTGCATCACATGAACGAGCGAGTGTCACATGAACGCTTGATTATTTGTATTTTTGTGCATGATGCAATTGGTGAGAGAGAACAAGGTCAGGACTCGGCATCTCGGTTCAGGACTAAACATCCTGAATGTCAGGTACATTCCGTATATTTTGACGCTCTAACCTGTTGTTGAGTGGGCTGGTCTATATTTCATCCGGACCAATTCTGTTTGATGCCCCTAAACTCGGGAATTCAATAATGTTTTCAGTCCTTTCCTGGCTTTCTTTCTGTAAAACCTATTCTGTAGCTAAACAATATAGCAAATTCATCTAAAAGTTACGTAAGTGGTAGATAGGTCTCCATGTTCTACTGGCTTGCGTACAGAGCCTATACCGCCTAGGGAGTTGAGCTTCAAGCAGTGCATTTACGGATTGCCTAAACACTTGTGGGAGGCCAAAGACCGTCTGAAAATCAGACGGGCGCGGAAGGGGAACTCTGGCGGAAAGGCTGGTTCAAATGGGCCTTCTCTTCAGCGAACCCTAAAGCCTTCCGTGCCAACGATAAATTACCCCTGGTCGGCATGTCTAACAGCAGCAAATCCGTGATTTCTCCAGCCCACTCTTTTTCTGGCCAACTTTGTGGTGGGCACAGTGTCGCCTGACTTGAATTCCTCGCACTGCGCAAACATTACACCGACATCGAAGCTGGAGCAGTACACGTATCTGCAGCCACCATCCCGGTTCGTGCATTTTCCCAGAGCCAAAACTACACAACATGCACTCGAAACCGTCACAATGGAGCGTACACACGATGCCCAGCATACTCATATCCATGTGCCTTTCGTTTCTTAGATACAGTCCGTTTCACGTTTATGCGCAACCGCACGTAGTTTACAAGCACCTGCGGCTTGGAAAGTTTCGAATTCTGACAAAGAGTGGTTGAGAAGCCCCAACCTCGCGCTGGCACCCCTGATTTCCGAGATACAACAAACCCAGTCACCCAACACTGTTGCAAAAATGCTATCTGCGTAACTTGGGTGATTTTTTTGCAGTCCCATTATGCCAGTGGCGAAGCTGACGAAGTCTCGCGAAAGTCCGTGATCGCGTTATCCCGCAAGGTTCTCTTCATTTCACACGGAGAGTCTTGATTTCGGTAACTGGCGTCGTCACGTAAGCGTACCTTTAACGAAAATATGTTCGTTGTCTCGTTGTGCACCACAAACAAATGGTCAATCCCCCTACAACTCGGTTCGGTGAGTGTCTCTCAATTCGAAAAGGATCACTGTACAGTCGTTCGTTCTTGTCCTGCATGCGCAAACACAACTTTTGGATTCCGATTTCACACCAATCGTGGAAGAGTCTTTCCGAGGCTAGTGCACGGCACGACGAAGCACAACCTCAAGTGATGCCACTGTCTTGTCTCCCAATGCGCCCACCCTTGTCCAAACAATGGAGCCCCGCTAGATTCAGCCTCACGAACCGAACAAATGCAATGTGGTGTGGTCCTCTCTAGACCTCCGCGTATTTTTTTGGGAAATTATACGCGCAGTCACAATTATGGCCGTATTATCACGTTTGGTCACGGGGTCATCACAGACAGTCACAGTACAGTACTTCGCTATCACGCATGATCACAGCGCTATCACGCTTGATCACACCTCGCCCCGCAGGGTTATCACGTTTGGTCACTCGTTGAAACGCCCGCCAAAAAGTCGAAACTCTCAAATCTACTGTACAGATTCGGGTACTTTTTATCTCGCGCGCGTTTTGTCTGTAGTGAAAAACGTGATGTGACTGTCGAAATATACTCGGTCCTTGTTAGGGACCGATGCAGTTTAATGCAGAGTCCGCATTTTGCAGTGAATATACGCGATCAATAGCAGTTTCGATTATATAATCACTCTTCTCTTTGTAATTGATACCTTGACATTATGTTTTGCACACGCAGTAATAAATAACCCAATTACACAATGTAATTTGCACATCAACCACCAGTCAATCTTGGATATGAGTAGGCATACGATATGGTGAATTAAACAAGCTACATGGAGGGAGGTATCAGAGGTAATTCTCCCTTTAGCGAGCGCTTGCCTGCAAGTTAAATTACACTTATATTACGTTAGCTTGCAGGCAAGCGCTCGCTAGAGGGAGAATTACCTCTGATACCTCCCTCCCTGTAGCTTGTTTAATTCACCATATCGTATGTCTACTCAAATCCAAGATTGACTGGTGGTTGATTTGCAAACGACATTGTGTAATTGGGTTATTTATTACTGCGTGTGCAAAACATAATGTCGAGGTATCAATTACAAAGAGAAGAGTGATTATATAATCGAAACTGCTATTGATCGCGTATATTCACTGCAAGTTGCGGACTCTGCATTAAACTGCATCGGTCCCTAACAAGGACCGAGTATATTTCGACAGTCACATCACGTTTTTCACTACAGACAAAACGCGCGCGAGATAAAAAGTACCCGAATCTGTACAGTAGATTTGAGAGTTTCGACTTTTTGGCGGGCGTTTCAACGAGTGACCAAACGTGATAACCCTGCGGGGCGAGGAGTGATCAAGCGTGATAGCGCTGTGATCACGCGTGATAGCGAAGTACTGTACTGTGACTGTCCGTGATGACCCCGTGACCAAACGTGATAATACGGCCATAATTGTGACTGCGCGTATAATTTCCCTATTTTTTTCGAGCAAATGTTCCTCCAACCAGACCGCACCGCGTTCCTGTGTTATAATCAGATTCGTCATACTCCCTTGTCACCCTACACATGCGATCAACCCTGATAGAGATTGACTAAGTACATTCACTAATTGTAACAATGTAACCTTCCTCACCCTTCAAAATCACATCCATTACACCAATTTATAAATGTTCTACATGCGGGCTTAGCACGACGGCACTTCGTCAAAGTGCGAGAGGAAGGAGGGCGCTTATCCTGGTTGACAGTTAGCATGTTTAAGAGCGACACTGTTCGGGGAAAGTGGGAGCTTTGAACTCCACCAGGGCATGTGAACCCAGTTTGCGGGAAACAACAGTTATTGTGCCACGAGGGCATGAGCATGGTCAGGTGTTGATGTTCTCTTTATTGGATGCTCCTTTATGAATGTTATGGAATGCTATGTATCGTAACACACCTAAGCACCACAATATTACACCACCCTTTTTAGTGCGGATGCTTCTTTAGGAATGTTATGGAATGGAATGCTTTGTATTGTAACACAATCAAACATAAGAACATCACAAAAAAAAAAAAGGACAAGCCTTATACAAAGAACTGACAAAGACAGCAAACGTACACAAGGCTGAGCAGCTGAGCCTCGGAAGGAACGTGCGCAGCTATATTTTGAGATTAAACTGGTACGGTGGTTGAAGGAACAAAATGGCCACCACCAGTCTCATATGAACCACACGTCCATGCCAAACGCCCATCACACTCAACGTGTAACCTGCACACAGCCAGGCAGCAAGCTCACCCCCACACTGGTCACCTGAGGGCATCCAACCATCCTGAGCTGCCTCAACCCCACCATGCGAGCCACATGCACCATGCCCGCATCCGTCACCCCCACACACCCACTAACATCCAAACACCGCAACCCGGGAATCCCCGCCATGTGTGCCAGCACAGCATCCGTCACGCCACGCGCATCGCACAGTTCCAGCCGCTCCAGCTGAGTCAGCTTGCTGACGTGGCGCAGCCCGTCAGGCGTGAGCCCAGCACAGCACCGAAGATCAAGCGCCTTGAGGGATGGCAGGCAGGCAGCATGCTCCAGAGCCTCCCCTGTGATGTTCTTACACCCGGGGGGGGAGCCCCAGCTGAAGGAGAGAGCGGTGATGGTGGGGAGGAGGTGCGGGCGGAAGCGGCGCAGCGCCTGCAGGAGAAGGGCGGCGTCGCTGTCGGCGATGTCGGGGTGGTGGGAGAAGCGGAGAGTGCTGCGCTGCACTATGCTCAAGCCGTACCGGTCCAGGGCTGCCCGCGCTGCCACGACCCGCTCCGCCTCAGCCTGCCAGTGGGAGGGAGTAGGAAAGGGGGGGAGGGGGAGTGTGCATAAGCAGTGGGGCAGCATGTTGTGCTGCGCTGCACATTGAGAGCTGCCTATGTCGCCACCACTTGCTCTGCCTCAGTTTGCCGGGAGGGAGTACGGGACGGAAGGACAAGTGCAGAAGCAATGGGGACAGGAGAGAGAACTCCTTGAGCTGCAGCACACACGGCCACAGCCCTAACCTCTATTCGCTGCTGCGCTGCCACGTGCTGCTGCTTCCTGCCCTCCTCTGCCCCACCACACATGCCCTTCACTTATCAGCCCACCAGCACTTGATGCCAACGTGCATCAGTCCATCGCATCACACCCCACCACAGCAAACACCTTCAGACACTCCCTCACCTCCATGAGTTGCTGCACCGTCACATGCTGCTGCTTCCTGCCCTCCTCTGCCGCCCCCGCCACCTCATCCCACCGCACTCGCCACTGCCCCTCCATGGCGCTCACCCTCTCCCCATCCGCCCGCCCCTTCCCCTCCACCTCCTTCCCCACCCTCTCCACCTCCCTCCCAGCCATCTCCTTCCACGCCGCAAGGCCCCCTCCCCCTCTCCATCCCCTTTCTCCCTCCTCTCCTCCACCGCTCCCACTCCCCCCATCCCCCTCCTCTCCTTCCTCCCCCACCCCCTTCTCAAGCCTCTCAATAAGCTTCTTCAACTGTTCCGCAACGCTCCGCCTCTCCTCCTCCTCTCGTTTCTGCAGCGCCGCTACCCGCCCCGCCCACTGCTCCTGCACCTCTCTCAACCGCTCTGCCTCCCTCCGGTGCCGCCCGGCCACTGTCTCCCCCCACTTGCTATCCGCAGCCACCCCCCACAGCCGCTCCCACTGCTGCAACTGCTCTCCCTCCGCGCGCCGCTCGTCTTCTAGCCGCTTGCGGGCGGCGTCGAGGCGGGCGGCGACGTTGTCGTGGAGGTGGCGCAGTTTGTCTGCATGCGTCTGGGCGGTGTCGTCGAGGCGCTGGCGCAGTGAGGCGAGCTGTGAGCGCACGTGGGCGGAGAAGAGCTGCAGCACCACCTGGTGGGGGGAAAAAGGGCAGGGGGGAGTGGGGAGGCGGGAAGGCGGAAGGGGGAAGGGGGAAGGAAGAAGGGGGAAGGGGGAAGGGAAAGAGAAAGTGAGTGTGGGTGAGTGTGGAGTGGGAGAAGGTGCAAGAAGAGCAGCAGATTTACGTAGGAGGCGTGGAAAATGGGGGCAGGGGTAAGAGCAGGGGCAGGGGCAAGGGCAGGTGGAAGGGGAATGGGGAAGAAGAGGGGCGAGTGGGTGAATGGCAACTGGGAGAGTGTGTGGGGGAAACGGAAGAAAGTGGAAGCAGGAAGCAACTGCCTTGAGCTGCAAGACATGGCGATGACTACACTTCCACCATTCCCAATTTCCACCTCTTGGTCCTCTCTTCCTCCTCCTCTCACCCCTATCCCTCCTCACCTCCCCCATCCCCCCCCCCTCCCCCCCCCCCCCCGCGCACCTCATCCAGCAGCTCCAGTTTCTTCGCGTCATCCCCCAGCGCCGCCTGCGTCTGCCGCTGGAGCTCCGCCGCCCACTGCGCCCACTCCGCCTTCACCGCGCCCAGCGCCTCCTCGTCGCGCCGCCGCTGCGCGCGCGCCTCCGCCTGCATCCCCGCCACCTCCGCCTTGGTCTGCTCCACGCGCTTCCCCCATGCCACCTCCATCATCTCGAACTGCGCGTGGATCCGCGCAACCGCCTCGCGCTGCGCCTTGCGCTCCGCGTCGATTCGCTTCTCCGCCTCCCCCACGCGCTGCTCCACCGCCTCCGTCTTCCCCGCGCAGTCCTTGAGGATCTTCGCCGCGCGCTTCAGGTTCCGCTTGCGCTCCTCCTCCGCCTGCCGCGCGGCTTCCTCCACTTGTGCGGCGATCTCCGCGGCACGCGCGGATGCGGCTTCCGCCTGCTCTTTGCGCGCTTCTGCCTCGCGCTGAAGCGCCTTCTCCAGTTCCGCGTCCGCCGCCCGCCGGCTCTCCTCTATCTTCTTCCCCACCGTTTCCTCCACCACTTTGCACCGCTTTACACCCCTCTGCCTCTCCTCCTCCACGTGTTTCCGCACTTCCGCCAGCTTCCCCTCCCACTCCCGCTCAATCTCCGCCAGTCTCCCCGCGTCCGCAAGCCGTCCCGCGTCCGCCTGCGCCTGCATCTCCGCCAGCCGCCCCGCCCACGCCTCCTGCGCGGAATGCAACCGGCCCTCCGCCTGCTTGAGCTCCGCGGACACGCGGAAGCGCATGTCCTCCACGCGCCCCACCCACCCCGCCTGCTCCGCCTTGAGCTCCGCCACCTGGCGCTGCATCTCTTCCGCCATCGCCTGCAGCATCCCCGCCTCCTTCGCGCCCCACCGCTCCTCCACCGCCGCGACCTTCATCACCGCAAGCTCCTGCACCGCGCGGATGCCTTCCGCCAGCTCCGCCTCCCCGCGCTGCCAGCGTCGCTCCAGCGCCTGTAGGCGCTCCGCGGAGATGGCGCGTTCCGCCTGCATGAGCGCCTGCAGCTTGTGAACCTCCGCGCCCCACTGCTCCTCCAGCTGCTCCTTCACGCGCGCAATCTCCCTCCGCCGCTCCTCTTCCGCCTGCTTGCGCATATCATCCTCCCGCGCGCCCCACATCATCCACTTCTGCCACCCCGCCTGCCCCTGCGCAGGAGCTTTTCCTCCGCCTTGCGCCTGCGCGTGGGCCTGCGGGTGCTCCGCTCCCCCTGCTGCGCGCTCCTTCCATTCCGCCTCCATCTCCGCCAGCCGCACCGTAACCTGCGTTGCCACGTCAGCGGCCATCCGCTCTTCCATGCGCGCGGCGATTTTTTCCTCGATTCGGGCAGCTAAACGTCCTTCCAGCTGCCCGGCCAGGTTGGCTTCGAGCTCCGCGGTCAGGTGCTCCAAGCTGGCGGCGACGCGCCTCTCAATGGCGGCGGCGGCGTCCGCTTCGATCGCCGCCACGTGCACCTTCACTGCTGCTTCCACCTGAGCATTCACCTGCGCTTCGGCAGCTGCTGCCTGCTGAAGAACCTGCCAACATAGGGGCGGTGGCGCAGAGTTCACATATTAGCCAACGGGTTCCTCAGCTCATTTGCGCAGATTCGGGGCCGGCTGCTTACCTCATGTTTATCCACGTCAGCAAGGGCCGCTGAACCGTCGGATGCGGAGTCGCCATCGGAGGAGGCGGACGAGGAGTGATGGGAGCCGTTGGATGAGGCGTCCGAGTCCATCAGCGCCAGCACGTCCGCCAGAAGCCGCAGCTCCTCCACCGACCCCTCGCTCGCCGCGCTTCCCTCTTCCGCCTCCTCCGCCGCCCCCTCAATCGCTGCGCTTCCCTCTTCCGCCTCCTCCGCCGCCTCCTCGATCGCTGCGCTTCCCTCTTCCGCCCCCTCGATCGTTGCGCTTCCCTCTTCCGCCCCACCCGCCACCTCCGCCTCGTGTGCCTTCTCCGCCTCGTCAGCCCGCAGCTCCTCCACTGACCCCTCGCTCGCCGCGCTCCCCTCCTCCGCCGCTTCCGCCGCCTCCTCCGCCACCGCCGCCTCCTCCCCGCCTTCCGTCGCTTCCGCCCTCTCCGCCTCGTGCGCCGTCACCGTGCTCTCTCCCGCCTCTTGTGCAGCCGTGTTTCCTCCGCCTGGCCCTTCCTCGCCGCCTGTCCCTTGCGCTCCGCCGTTTTCCCCATTCGCCGCGACCTCTCCGTTCTCTGCGCCATTTCCTTCGTCCGCGCTCACCGCGCCTTCAGCAGTCACCTCAACCATTGCCGCGTCGCGCTGCATTGATTCGCCCGCCTTCTCATCTGCCACATTTTCATGGTCCTCACTCTCTTGCGCTTCAGTCCTCTCCACCTCCTCACTCTTCTCCGTCTTGTCACTCGTCTCTACCCCTTCGCTCTTCTCATCATTATTAATCACCCCACCTCCCTCTATCTCTTCTACATCCTCGCTATGAGCTACCTCGATTCCCTCATCACCCGCTACTAGCACTCTCTTCTCATCCTCATGCTTCTCATGCCCCACATCCTCCGCACTCTCGCAGCCGTTGCTCTCAATCGCATCATCATCATTCCCGGTGCAAGTTATCCCTCCCTCGCTCTCCGTACGCTCCACCACCTCCGCTTTCCCCTCTTCGACCGGGCTCACCGCCTTGTCCGCCGCGACTGGCGCCGCTTCAGGCGCTGCATCACTCGCGTCCACCTCTTCCGCGTCGGGCTTCTTGTCTGACGCGCAGCTGTTGGGCGCCGTTTCTCCAGACGCTTCCTCCGTAACCGCCGCCGGCGCTTCGTTTCCCGCCTCTGCGCTCGACGCGCTACCCGCGCCTTCCTCTGTCTCGAAAGCTACTCCCTCACCGGCATACACGGATACGCCCTCCGGCGGTTGTGTCTCCTTGCACGCAGGGCCGTCAGCATGCTCGGGCTCAATCTCGCTTTCGCGCGCGTTCTCGTTCTCGTTCTCACCGGCCGTGGCGGTCTCCGCTTCAAGTGCTGCGTTTGCCGCGGCCTCGCAGGTCGCGTTCCCCTCATCAGCCTCGTCCGTGGCCCCTTCGCCTGCTCCTGCATCCGTGTCCGCATTGCCATCCGCCACGCTTGCTTCGCCCGTGCTCGCAGCCGAGTCTGTTGGGTCCACGCCGCTCCCGGTTCTATCGCAAGCTTCAGCCATGGTTCCAACGTCTGAGCTCGCATCGACTTCGGATGCAATTGCTTCTTGCGCGCTTGCCGCGCCTCCGCCCAGCGTGCCATCTCTCGCGCTGTCCACCATTGGCGCCGCGTCGGTCTCGTCGACCGCTGAAGCGCGCACGCTCTCGACCACAGCGTCGCGGAGAGTCGTCGCATCCTCAGCTGCTGCGTCGCGGAGAGTCGTCGCATCCTCAGCTGCTGCGACGAGGACATTCGTCGCATCCTCGGCTGCTGCGACGCTGACATTCGTCGCATCTTCAGCTGCTGCGACGCTGACATCCGCAACATTCTCGGCTGTTGCAACCTCTGCATGATCATCCTTATTCAAGCCGCTCGCGTCTTCCACGTCACACGCTTCCTCAGCGGCCGCATCGCCATCTTCCTCCGCCTCTCCGCTGCTTCCTTCGTCTGCCTTGCTGCTGACTTCCTCGCGTCCACCCAAGGCCGCTTCAGGACACTGAACACCGTCAGCCTCTCCGCGCTCTTCGGGGTCTCCGCTCCCAGCCGATGGGTCTGTCGCATTGCGATCGTATGAAGCCTCCGAAGCTTCGCTCGCCTCTAGGCTCTCCCCTTGGCTCTCCTCGTGGCTCTCCTCCCGCGTCGCTCCTTGACAGGCGGCAGGCTCCTGTGAACTGGTTGAGAGAGAATCCTCCGCCATCGCGCTTTCGGGGCCTATGCCGTTGTTTGTTTCGCCAGCAGCTCGCGCATCTGCTGCTGAATCTTCCTCCATCTTTGCTGGTTCGGAGGCCACCGCATCGCCGTCAGAAAGGCTGTCTGCGCCCCCGTCTCCATATTTCTCCACGTTATTCACATTTCCCTCGAAATCTCTTACCATATTTTCAGTCTCCTTCGTAACCGGGTGTTCCGTGTTCTCCGTCTTCGGGCAGTCGTTCACACTCTGGGAGCTTGCAGCTGAATTCACGGCTTTCGGTGATTCTTGTTGCGCTACCAGCGAGATGTCACCAGCCAAATTTCCTCCGTCGCCAGGGTCCTCTAGCTCAATCTTTTCCATATTTTCACTTATTTCCGCCGATGGGATGCTTGCTGTCGGTGAGCGGATGTCAGGTCCTCCGGCACAAACTGATGGTGTCAAGCAGCCAAACAAGTTGAAGAATTGAGAGATGGTTGCTAGCTCAGGGTGGAATTCCAACCAAACGGGTGAGGTTTTGAAAGAAGATGGTGAAATGCAACATTGCCATCCTGCGGCTTGGCTTGGGAAGGGATGAGAGAATTCCAGCATGATGTGGATGCGGAATTCTGGATTGTTTTTTTTTCCCTCTGGCAACTACTCCAACATTTGGACCTTTGGGTAAACTCAATACAGCCCGAGCTGCTAAGTGGTAGTTTTCGAAACAAATCATGAGTAGTTTTTCACGTCCGAAGGATCAACAAAGGGGGAATGCCTCGTTTTGAAGTATCACACTTTGCAGCCAAAAGTTTCAGGGTAGCTCTTCGTCAAACAAAACCCGCAGCGCACACGCGAGTCGCCTTGAGTTTAGCTGCACAGCGATTCGTTCATTCGTTTCGCTGTGCAATTATCGAACGAATCGCCACCTGAACACCATTCACAACCTTTGACAATGGCGGGGGACCTGCTCCCAATACAAGCACTATTAGGCATGTCACTATTATCCATATTTCCAAGTGCACAGAGCAATGTGATCGGGCAGATTCATAATTCTAAAATGGGGCAGACGACTGTGTATTGGGGTCGAATTGAAGAGGCACACCGTGACTGTTAGTGAGAATTTCAGTTGCGGGGACAATGTTGGATCCTCGTAAACGCCGCAAGGCCGCTTTTCTTCGCATATTGTGCAGGCAAGTGAGGTTGAGGGGCGAGGCGCTGCAGTCGTGAGCCAGTCAGTAGGAGCGCTGTAGAGAAAGCATTGTGAAGTGAACGCGAGGGTGGAAGTGAATCGATCTTAGACGCCGCCTTGCCGCCATGAGGCTTGCGACGCTCGCCACGTGCGCGCTGAACCAATGGGCGATGGATTTCGAGGGTAACACAAACCGCATCATAGCGTCCATTCGCGAGGCGAAGGCGCGAGGCGCGTCGTACCGGATCGGGCCGGAGTTGGAAATTACGGGCTACGGCTGCGAGGACCACTTCCTCGAGCATGACACGTGCCAGCACGCGTACGCCACGCTCTCTTTTCCCGTGACAGAATCTCGGCATCCTTGCCCTCCCCTGCGACGTGCCACGTGGCATCGATCGTCGACCTCCTTTCTTCTGCTGATCCGTGCCACCCTGCCGAACAGCTCAACTTATTTGCTGGGTCCGCGAGTGGCGCCGTGAATGAATTCGTAGATGCCATAGCATCGATTTTCCCGCCTTTCCTTGCTCCCCGTCCCATGAGCTGGGAGAATCCAGCCGCTATCACCGCCAGCAGCGCTACAGCCGGCATGCTCTGCAAGATCGGCCTGCCAGTGAGAGCACATCATGGCGTGTGCTACAACCTGAATTCGCAGCTCACCCCCTTCCCATGCCACCAGGTGGGAACGTTTGTCAAGCTGCCATCATCACCCGCGGCGCTACAGCTGGCATCCTCTGTGACACAAGCCTGCCAGAGGACCACGACTATCTTTTCCCTCCCTCCACTCACTCTCCCCTTCTCTCCTCACTCTTCCCGCATCCCCTCAATCTCCCCCCACCCTCAACACCTCAGCTGGGAATGCTTTTCAGCGATCATCGCGAGCGGCGCTACAGCCGCCATCCTGTGTGACATCGGGCTGGCAGAGGAGCATCGCGGCGTGCGCTACAACTAGAAGCCTCTACTCCCGTTCCCCCCCATGCCACCAGCTGGGAGTGTCTAGCCGCCATCATCGCAAGCGGCGCTACAGCCGGCATCCTGTGTGACATCGGGCTGCCAGTGGAGCACCGCGGGGTGCGCTACAACTGCCGGGCGCTCGTCCACAGCCGTCGGATCCTGCTGCTGCGCCCCAAGATGGATCTGGCGAATGATGGAAACTACCGGGAAACGCGCTGGTTCGCCACGTGGAAGCGGTTGGGAGTGGTAGAGAGCGTGCGGTTACCAGCGGTGGTTACCGCGGCGTGTGAGGGGCAGCGGGAGGTGCCTATTGGGGATGGCGTGCTGGATCTGCTGGATAGGTAGGTGGTATCTGAATGGGTGATGTCTGAATGGGTGATATTTGGATGGGTGATGGCATGTGGGCTCGGTTGGTTGCTGTGGATGTCGACTGCTCCGGTGTTGTAGCTACGTGTTCGTCAACTCCTCCCCTCTCCACCTTTCCATCTCCACACCTCTGTGCCTGCTACTGCCATGCCCCGCAAGCAGAGGTGGTGAGGTGATCACGAGCACCGTTCCATCCTCGTGTTGTGGTACGATATCATCCACATCTAATTCATCCCCGTTACTACCTTTCCGCCAAACACTCAGCACATCCACGCAGAGCTGGTGGATGGGTGCAGAGAGAAGGAGGGCAACAGCAGCAAGCAAGTACACCTCTCCTTTTCCTCCATCTCTCCACCCATCCGCCTTTCTTCTCTTATCTGCCCTCACGAGTTGAGACATGCAAGGAGCTATTAGCCCCTCTCGCTTTGCACATTCGAGAGCGCTAGCGGATGGAAGCAGAGACATATTGGCAGCAGACATACCTCACCTTTTCCTCCTCGTGTAAGGAGCTACCAAACCCTCTCGCTCCGCACATCTGAGCAGTGCTAGCAGGAGCAGAGGTGGTGGGCACCGGCAGTGAGCGCACTCACTTAGTTGCCTCCTCGCCCCGTGTTTGCTATCTGCCTCCAACTTGTCTCCCCATTCTTCTCTCCCTCCCAGCACCCTGGCGAGTGAGACGTGTGAGGAGCTCTTCACCCCTCTAGCTCCGCACATCCGAGCGGCACTGGCGGGGGCAGAGGTGGTGGGCAACGGAACTGAACGCACCCACTCTGTTTCCTCCACGTGTATGACATTCACCCCCACCTTGCCTAACTCCCAGCACCCTTGCAAGTGAGACGTGTGAGGAGCTCTTCACCCCCTGGCTCCGCACATCCGAGCAGCACTGGTTGGAGCAGAGGTGGTGGGCAACGGCAGCAAACGCACTCACTTTGTTGCCTCCTCGACTTTTGAGACGTCTCAAAAGTTGTTGGGTCCTCGCATCGTGTTTGCTATCTGCCTCCAACTTGTCTCCCCATTCTTCTCTCCCTCCCAGCACCCTGGCGAGTGAGACGTGTGAGGAGCTCTTCACCCCTCTAGCTCCTCACATCCGAGCGGCACTGGCGGGGGCAGAGGTGGTGGGCAACGGCAGTGGCAGCCACCACGAGCTGCGCAAGCTGGGCACGCGTGTGGGGCTGGTGCAGTCTGCTACGAGCAAAGCAGGGGGGGTTTACTTGTATGCCAACCAGAAGGGGTGCGACGGCGGACGTCTATACTATGGTGAGTGTGGTGTGCTTGAAACGAGGTTGTAAGGGAGGCGGGTGGGCTGTTGCCAGCGGCAGCGGCAGCCACCACGAGCTGCGCAAGCTGGGCACGCGCGTGGGGCTCGTGCAGTCTGCTACTAGTAAAGCAGGCGGGGTGTACCTTTACGCAAACCAGAAGGGGTGTGACGGCGGAAGGCTGTACTATGGTGAGTGTACATAAATGGTGCGTGGTTGGGCTGTTGTCATTGGCAGCAGCAGCCACCACGAGTTGCGCAAGCTGGGCACGAGCGTGGGGCTCGTGCAGTCTGCTACTAGCAAGGCGGGGGGAGTGTATCTGTATGCCAACCAGAAGGGGTGCGAGGGAGGAAGGCTGTACTATGGTGAGTGGGGTGCTGTGCTTGTGACCTGGGCAATCCGGGCGGCACACGCGAGAGGCTTGTGCTGTATGCTGTGTCTGCAGCAGGGTGTTTGGTTCTGCAGCGACGCTACACATCTTTCCCTTTTGTGCCTCTCCCATTCCCTTGTCTTTTCATCCCCTCCTCCCCCCCCCCCCCCTCCCCTCTCACCAGACGGGTGTGCGATGGTGGTGGTGAACGGGCAGGTGGTGGCGCAGGGATCGCAGTTCACATTGGCTGACGTCGAGGTGGTAACCGCTACAGTGGACCTCGACCAGGTGCGTTGACTTGAGTTGACCGGCTGAATTGACTTGAGCTGACCAGGTGCGTTGACTTGAGCTGACCAGGTGCGTTGACTTGAGTCGACCAGGTGCGTTGACTTGACCTGACCAGCTGCTTTGACTTGAGTTGATCGGATGGTGACCAGCAGAGGGCAGGGAGATGGTGATGCAGGAAGCGGTGGAGTATCTGGGCCACCCTAAACCTGAAACCCTGGAGAGGTTGTACGCCGTGTGGCGCATCTCCGCGTGGCGAATGAAAAAGCCTCTGGATTACATGTGCATGAGCCAGGCGATTTTTTACGCCTGGGTTGACGAAATGGGAGGAGGAGGATGTGATGGAGGGAAGTGGTTCAGGAGGGGGATGGGAAGGAGATTGGGCAAGCGAGGAGGAGGAAGATATGATGGAGGGGGTAGTGGTTCCGGAAGGGGATGAGGAAGGAGAAGGGGCAGGAGGGGAGGAGGAGGGTGTGGTGGAGGGCGCAGTGGTGGGGGTCCTTCGTCTTCGCCCTCCACCACACCCGCCTCCTCCTCTCCTGCCCCCTCTCCTTCCTCATCCCCCTCCCACAAGACCCACGTTGAATTCGCCGCTCAATAAGCATTCTTGCAGGTGTGGATCACCGTGTATTCTTGCATGTTCCGTGCACCACCCCATGACTGCATGCCGGCATGCGCTCGTCTCTCCATGCCCATCTCACCGTGCGTGCAAGGGGCCCTGAAAGAGGCTGCCAGCATGCATGCACCAGTGGCATCCTCTTTCAGGGCCCCTCTCGGCCACCACTCGCCACAGTGCTGCACGTGCTCTTCTCCTCACGTGTCTTTCTTTCCCAAACCATTTCCTTCCTTCCGCCTGCCTCCCTCTCCCCTCATATCTCATTCCTCACTTGCCCTGCTCCACCCTTGCGCCCCTCCATTTTGAGAGCTACAGAGGCGCCATCAGCAGCCTGAGAGAGCAGTCCTAAGATTCTCTCTTTTCGCCCTCATCCCCTCATCCTCACATTCATGCCATCCCTCGTCTGCCTCTTACACCTCTCCCCTCTACTGTCCCTCCAGGTGGCGAGCTACAGGGGCGCCATCAGCAGCCTGAGGGAGCAGGCCTCAGCCTCCGCCGCAGCACCCTCCACCTCCTTCCCCTCTCTTTCCTCCGCCGCCTCTCCTGCCCCGCCCATCGTGCGCATCCCCTCCGACATCTCAATCTGCCATCCTTCATCTGCGAGCCTTACTCTCGCCATCTCCCATCCCCTCCAGGTATTCTTCCTTCCGCTCCTTCCACTCTTCTTTCACTTTCCTTTTCATTCCATTAGACTTCCTCTATCTTTTGCTCACCTTCTGCCCTCCTACTTTCCTGCGTCCCTCCTATTCCCTGCTTCTCATGCCCTCGTGCTCTCGTGTGCTCCCTCTCATGCTCCCATGCTCTCCCATCGCAATCTTATCTCACGCCACCAGATCCGCTGCCCGGGGGGAGGAATCATCTCTCGGCCCAGCCTCCTGGCTGTGGGATTATCTCCAACGCAGCAAAGCCCTCCTGGCGTCAGAGTGCTCTCCTCCACTCCTTCCTCTCATGCCCGCATGCCCTCATGCTCCCATCCCACTCCCATCACACACCACCAGATCCGCTACCATTGCCCCGAGGGAGAGGTAACTCTGGGCCCGGTGTGCTAGCTCTAGGATTATCTGAGGCGCAGCAGGGCCTCTGGCTTCAGTGTGCTCTCCCCTTTTCGTGATCCCATACTCCTCCCCCCACTCCTCCCACGCACCACCAGATTCGCTACCACTTGCCTGAAGAGGAGATAGCTCTGGGCCCGGCGTGCTGGCTGTGGGACTACCTGAGACGCAGTGGGGCATCGGGCTTCCTGCTGCCGCTGTCGGGCGGCGCTGACAGCTCCTCTGTGGCCGCCATTGTGGGGTGCATGTGCCAGCTGGTCGCTAAAGGTATGATGCGGTAATGTGGGGTGTAATGCAGTGCAAGGTGATGCTATGCTATGCAGCTATGAGGTGCCATGGCACGCTGACTTCGAAACTATTTCAGGCGCAGTGGGGCCTCTGGCTTCCCGCTGCCGCTGGGGCGGTGCTGACTGCTCCTCGGCGGCTGCTATTGTGGGTGGGGTGCATGTGCCAGCTGGTCGCCAAAGGTATGATGCGGTGCTGTGGAGTGCTATGGGGTGTGATGCAGCACCTCATTGTGATGCTATGAGGTGCTGTGGGGTGCTATGCTAGACAGGGTCAATCAAGTCGAGTTCGGACTTGACTTTAAGGTCGAGTCGAGTCCGTTTTTTTTTTTTTCCTGGCTCGCCTCAAGTCGAGTCGACATGAGGGGAATGGTCGATGCATCGTCCGAATCGACTGTCGAGTCAGCCACGAGTCAGCAAGTCGGCTGACTCGATTCCTGCTATGCTGACGAGATTCACCAATTAATTCGTGTGGATTCACGATGTCAATTTTCCCCCGTCACTCAATTTCTCCCCTCCACTCAATGTCCCCCCGTCCTCCAATTCCCCCCATCATGCGATTTACCCCCGTCACCCAATTTCTACGTCACGTGATTTTCTGTGCGTACAAAATCGCGAGGGATGAGGGGAGGAGGGAGGGATTTCGGCATTGCTACTGTGCATGCACTGGCGACTACAAAGCTTTTGTTGGTTCTGGCACATCGCAAAATCAGATTTGAGCGTAACTGATTTTTTCTGGGGGTTGGGGGGGGTCTCTTGAAATTACCTACAGGGTTAGGTAGATCGAGTCAAAACTGACTCGCGAGTCGAGTGACTCGATCTCGAGTCACGCCTGACTCGACCGCAGAAGTCGAGCACGGGTCGGCAGTTAGAAAAACTTGACTCGACTATGACTCGACTCGACTCGGCTCGACATAACTCCCGACTCAACTACAACTCGAGATGACTCCACTCGACTCGACTCAACTCGTGCCCATGTCTATGCTATGCTGCCGTGCTCATCTGTGACCGCCATTGTGGAGCATGGCATTTGCCAGCTGGTCGCGAATAGTGTGCTCCGGGGGTGCATGGATGGGGTGCAAAGGGTGCAGCGCAGTGCGTGGCGGTCTCTGGGTGATTCAGCTGTGTCGTTCTTGGGAGCGTGCGGCACAGGGAATCGAGCAGGGGCGTGCAGCGCAGTGGTTGCAGAGCGATTCACATTCACGCCTGTCCCTTCTCTCTCCCTTACGCTGCCTCCTCACAGCTATAGCAGAGGGCAACGAGCAGGTTCAGAAGGACGCAGAGAGAATCACAGGGCTATACCTGGCGGCCGGAGCGGGAGAAGAAGAGCAGAAGCGGCATGCTGCTATGGTGGCAGATCGCATACTTCATACAATCTATATGGGCACAGAGAACAGGTTTGTTCGTACATTTCATATCTCAATGGTTTATAGTCTCTCTATGCACCCTCTAATACCCATGATCTTGACGCTATGAACAGGTGTATACCCATCACAAGGGCACTTGTTAGTGTCTGTGTGCTTTCATGCATGTCCTTTCGCCAACACTGCACGTTTCCCGCCGCCTTCCCCTCTCGCTCAAATTCCCCTCATCCTCCTTTTCATGTCCCCTAACCTCCCTTCCACACCAATCTGCTGACGCATACTCCCAGGCCACGCGATCGCGAACGAAGCAGCAGGCATCGGAGATAGGCCCGTGGCACGTGGACACAAGCATAGACTCCGTGGTGGCTGCGGTTGTGGTTTCTTGTCTCTCCTCTCTCCTCCCCCTCTCCTGCTTCTCACCCCTCTCTCTCCTCCCCCTCATCTCCCTCTCACCTCCTCCTCACGCACTCAACTCCCAGGCCACGCGATCACGAGCGAAGCAACTGGCATCGGAGATAGGCGCATGGCATGTGGACACGAGCATAGACTCCTTGGCCGCTCCTGTTGTCACCCCCTTTTTCATCCCCATCACTCCTTTCTCCCAACCATCTCTCTCACCTTCCCTTTCAGTTCCCAGGCCACAAGGGCAAGGGCGAAGCAGCTGGCATCGGAGATAGGCGCGTGGCACTTAGACACGAGCATAGACTCCGTGGTCGCTGCTCTCGTGGCTCTCTTCCTCACTGTCACCGGCCTGCGACCGCGCTACAAGGTGGGTGGATCGCACTTTCTTTGCAGTCACTACTCTTGCAGTCACCGTCTTTGCAGTTTCCTTCCTTGCTCTCTTTCTGTGCCCCACCACCAGTGAGCAGCTTTGGCCATCCCCCTCGTGCCTCTCTTCCTCACAGTCACCAGCCTGCGTCTCCACTACAATGTCTTTTGAGGCGTCTCAAAAGGCATCTCCACTACAATGTGGGTCGACCAGGGAGGGAGGGCACAACTCGAGCTGTATTGTGGGAGTATGTAGGGTGTGGAGTGAATGAATGAGGCGTGGGAGTGTGTGCGAGGCACGTCACCTCTCTTCACCCCTCTTCACCCCTCTTCAACCCCCCCACGCAGCACATCGCCACTTCTCCCTCCCGCTTCTCGTCTCCCCGCCCCCTCTCGTAGCTGGATATCAGCAGAGAACCAGGCAGAGCAGAATTCAGGCGCACCTGCGCATGCTGCTCGCCTTCCTCTCTTCGTATCTCGCCTACCCTCCCGTCTTGCTCATCTCTCCCCGCCACCAAACAACCCCCCCCCCCCACACCAGCTGGATGGCGGCACATCAGCAGAGAACCTCGCCTTACAGAACATCCAGGCGCGGCTGCGCATGGTGCTGGCTTTCCTCTTCGCCCAGCTGCTGCCCTGGGTGCGCGGACACGGGGGGAGAGGGGGAGGAGCCGCAGGGCAGACGGGGGAGAAGGGGAAGGAGGAGGGGCGGAAGGAGAGCACTGCTGACGGACAGCAAAGGGGAGGGGAGGGAGGAGGAGGGGGAGGGGGAGAAGAGAAGGTGCCAGTGGAAGGGGTGTTGGAGAGGAGCAAGGGGAGGGGAGGTGGGTCGGAGCAGTGGGGGGGCGGAGGGGGCTTTCTGCTGGTGCTGGGCAGCGCCAACGTTGATGAGGCTCTGAGAGGGTACCTTACTAAGGTGTGCTTATAGCCTTTCAGAGCGAGCATTGTTGCCCCAACCAATTGCTCGTGCTGGGCGGCAGTGCCAACGTGGACGAGCCTCTGAGAGGCTACCTCTCCAAGGTGTGCTTTCAATGGGAGTATGGTGGTATCACAGTCGTTGCGGTGAGGGTGAGACAGAGCCAGCATTGCTGGTTCCCACAGGTATATCAACCAACCATTCATGCTGGGCAGTGTCAACGTGGACGCATTGCACTAAGGGACTATCTCACTAAGGTGTTCTCTCCAAGGGAGCATTGCGTATCACACTTATCGCTGTTGTGCCAAGTCTACCTCAAGACCACCATCCACCCGTTCCTTCCTTCTGTCCCCGTGGCTCACTCTCCCCGCTGCTCACTCTCCCCGTTGCTCACTCTACTCTCCTCAGTACCGCATCTAAAGCAGTGCTGATATCAATCATACTGGAGGCATCAGAAAAGGATTTCCCTGACGTCCCTATCCCCACTCCCACCCGATCACTATCTCCCCTCTTTCCCACCAGTACGACTGCAGCAGTGCACACATCAACCCCATCGGCGGCATCAGCAAAATAGATCCCTGTTGTGTCTAGTCCTGTTGTTGCCTCCCTTTCAATTAAAATTCTCGCAAGCATTCCGCTCCCCCTTTCCCACCAGTACGACTGCAGCAGTGCCGATACACCCCATCGGAAGCATCAGCAAGTCATAGAAGCAGCAGCGACAACACTTGCAACGCCCTCGACAGGAGCAGCAGCAGCAGGCGAGGAGGCGGCGGTGGCAGGGCGGCAGCAGGAGGAGCAGGTGGAGGGGGAGGCAATGAGGGTGGGGGAGCAGCCTCCCCCTCCACCTGCTCCTCCTGCTGCCGCCCTGCCACCGCCGCCTCCTTGCCTGCTACTGCTGCTCCTGTTGAGGGCGTTGCAGGTGTTGTCGCTGCTGCTTCTGCTGTTGCTGCTGCCAGTGTTGTTGTTGCTGCTGGTGCAACTGCTGCCGTTATTGCTGCTGTTGTTGGTGGTGTTGCTGCTGCTGCCTGTACAAAAATAGAGGGAGAGGGAGATTGAGAGGGAGAGGGAGAGGGCGAGGGAGATGGAGAGGGGTTTACCTCACTTGCCTCACCTCGGTGCTGCAAGACAGTACACCTTGGCTTCATCTCAACACTCCCAGTCCCCCATCCCTTCTTTCCCAACCCTCCCCCCCCCCCTGTTCCCACCATAACGATTGCAAGAGTGCCAATATCAACCCCAGCGGGGACATCAGCAAGACGGACCTCCTACTACTGTAGACCCTCAAACTCTTGTTCTGGTTTGATGAAGCATCATCCACAGGCATTGCCCCCCCACAACTCCTGCTGCTCCCGCCTACTCTCCCCCTCCCCTTTTAAAACTACTCCCCAGGGACAACCGCTTTGACCTGCGGCAGTTCCTGTACAACGTGCCATGGCCGCACCGCCCTCTCCATTTGTTTCTTTCCCCCTGGCCCACTACACCTCCTTCCCACGCTTCCCCCACCCATCCCCTTCCCCCTGGAAGAGCTATTTCACAGAAGACAACCTGCGTCGATGTGTGGCAGTTCCTGTGCAACGAGCGGTGGCACCACCCCCATCTCCCCTTGCGTCTTCCCAACCCCCTCCCCTTCACCCTCCCCATCCCCCGTGTTCAGAACTACTCACCGGAGGACAACCGCTTTGACCTGAGGCAGTTCCTGTACAACGTGGCATGGCCGTGGCAGTTCAAGCGCATCGACCAACTCGTGGCAGAACATGAGGCCGCAGCAGCAACAGGCGCAGCAGGTGCTGCTGCTGCTACAACGCCACCAGTTGAGGGCGTGGATGCAGCAGCAGCGTGAAGTTGACCTGAGGCAGTTCCTGGCGTGGCCGTGGCAGTTCCTGGCATGGCCATGGCAGTTCAGGCGCATCGACCAGCTCGTGGCCGAGCATGAGGCTGCAGCAGCTGCTCGTGCTGGTGCTGGTGCTGCAGTTGAGGGCACGACAGAAGCAGTCGTCATTCATCAGTAGTGCAACGACAGTCATGAGGGTTCATTACAACGTGGCATGGCCGTGACAGTTCAGGCGCATCGACCAACTCGTGGCGCTGCATGGGGCTGCACCCACAGCTGCTTCTGCTGATGATGCTGCTGCTGATGATGCTGCACCAACCCCACCAATTGAGGGTTTTAACGCAGCAGGAGCTTCAGCAGCAGGAGGGACGGGGAGGAAGTTGGAGGAGAGTACGGTACTGCTGATGGTGCTGGTGGAAAGAAGCTGAAGAATGGCAAAGCTGTACTGTAGCATAGCATACACTGGAGTGCACTAAGAATATTTTTTCCATCTCTCCCTGCATTATCATGGAATCAAGAGGGTTTGCGTGTTTAGTTGTGAGAGGGGTTAAGGGTACCTACATGCAGCTCTTGAAATAGAAAAGGCATTGTAAGAGTGTAGGGGTACATATGTGCTACAGTGTGTCTCTTTCAGAATCATTACTCTATGATCTGGTTACACATGAAAATGTGCTTTTTGAGACACCTATTCAGCTGTGGTAATGAGTTTTGTCACATTTGACTGAATATATGGCATGAGGAGCGAAACCCAGGTGCATATGCTGAGCTGACGAATAAAATCATTGCCTGTACAGCGTATTGTGTATTGTACTTCACAACCTCAATACACCACACATGCCATTGTGAGGCCAGCAGCAGGTTACAGCAGGCAACAGCAGCCTTTTCACAGACCAGGGAGCCACCTGCTTGCCGTGCACTTGCATCACCACATCAGCTCCAAATCCTCTCTGCTTCAAGCTCTGTACTGAGTTGCCAAGAAGAAAACCCAATGGAAACCCATTCATTCCGTAATCTCCGCTGCTGCACCTTCCCCATCCCCATCGTCCCCTGTGTCATCCCCTTGACTGCCTGCTAAAGTCAAGCTCCGAGCATCCCGAGTAGCATCTAGAGTGCTAATCTTTCAATCAACCCCTCAAAATCCCCCCCCGAAAAACATCGCTCCATAATCTCTGCTGCCTGCGCCTCCCCCATCCCCATTGCCCTCCAGGTCATCCCCTTGACTGCCTGCTACAGTCAAGCTCCGAGAATCCCTTCATGGCGATATTCATGGCGTCTGGGGTGTGCTGATTTTTCAGTTGACTCACCTAATTCCTAGCACACAACCCTTCACTCCATGATATCCGTGGCTTCATCTCCCCCATCGCCATCGCCCCCTGTGTCGTCGCCGTGACTGCCCCCGACAGTCAAGCTCGCAGCATCGCGGGTGGCAACGGCAGTGTTGATGGCGTCTAAGGTGAGCTGGTTGTTGCTGTGAATCGCCTCATCCACTGGCGTGCGCTCGTGGCTGGGAATAAGAGATGCGGGTTGTGGGAGAGGTGATAACACAGGGTAGAGAAGGGAAGTTGCAAGGCGCAGCGGGAATAGCGCCTAGGGTGTGCTGATTGTTGCTGTGAATCGCCTCATCCACTGGCGTGCGCTCGTGGCTGGGGATTGGAGATGAGGGTTGTGGGGGACAGGGAGAACACAAAGTTGAAACGGGCAGGAGGGAGGGTCGGCACCAATGGCGTGTAAGGTGAGCTGGTTGTTGCTGTGAATCGCCTCATCCACTGGCGTGCGCTCGTGGCTGGGGATTGGAGATGAGGGTTGTGGGGGACAGGGAGAACACAAAGTTGAAACGGGCAGGAGGGAGGGGCGGCACCAGTGGCATCTAAGGTGAGCTGGTTGTTGCTGTGAATCGCCTCGTCCACTGGGGTGCGCTTGTGGCTGGGGATTGGGGATGGAGTTGTGGGGGAAGGTGAAAACACAAAGTTGAGAAGGGCATGTGGGAGGGGAAGCGGTGATGGTGACTGGGGTGGGTGTGGTGGTGGTTGCTGTGAGTCGCCTCATCCACTGGCGTCCGCTCGTGGCTGGATGGATGGGAATGGAGTTTTAGGGGAGGCAGGTTGGCAGGACAGGAAGGAAGACGGGGGAATTACGAAATGGAAAACGGCAGGTGGGAGGGCTGTCATGCTCTGCGCATGCTCAACACGGGCTTGGGTATGATAGACTCTTACCGTATCAGCACAAGACGACTGCATGGATACAGCGATTGGGGATGGGTAGCAGAAAGCAGCATTGGATGTGGCTAGCGGCAGTCGGAGTGAGTAGCAGGCGGGAGGTGTGAGGAGAGTGAGGGACGGAAGGGGGTTACCTGTTGAGGGCGGAAGGGTTGGCTCCAGAAGCAATGAGCAGATGCACCATCTGATGGGATGGGGGAGGGGGTGGGAAGCGGTGAGGTGGGGTGGGATGGGTTGCGTGTGTGTGGGGGTTGTGGGGGGCATTTTGAGGTCGAATGGTGGAGGGGCTGGCTCCAGCAGCAATGAGCAGATGCACCATCTGATGGGTTGGTGAGGAAGGAGTGGGGTGGAGTGGGGTGGGATGGGGCGGAGTGGGGTGGGTGGACCTGACGATTGACATCTGCTGTGAGTGTCAAGAGACCGCCTGTAACAGGAACTTTAAGTCTGCAACCCGACAGAGAGGAATGCGATGGTGATGATGCATGGCCCGTGACAAAACAAGGTATTGGTTTCACTGCCGTTGGGGTGCAGAATACAAGGGATTTCCCTGGCTGCTGCAGCCCCACTTGCCCCTGCTGCTACCTGTGCACTCAAACAGTCACTCCCGTTCCCCCCTGCACCCATTTCCGCAACCATATTCTCTTCTCAACTCACCGAATCCCTGCCATCCCCCCTGCACTCACTGAGTCCTGCCATCCCCCCTGCACTCACCGAGTCCTGCCATCCCCCCTGCACTCACCGAGTCCTGCCATCCCCCCTGCACTGCACTCACCGAGTCCTGCCATCCCCCCTGCACTGCACTCACCGAGTCCTGCCATCCCCCCTGCACTGCACTCACCGAGTCCTGCCATCCCCCCTGCACTGCACTCACCGAGTCCCTGCCATCCCCCCTGCACTGCACTCACCGAGTCCTGCCATCCCCCCTGCACTGCACTCACCGAGTCCCTGCCATCCCCCCTGCACTGCACTCACCGAGTCCCTGCCATCCCCCCTGCACTGCACTCACCGAGTCCCTGCCATCCCCCCTGCACTGCACTCACCGAGTCCCTGCCATTGACAGCCGCCCAGTGCAGCGGTGTGTTGCCCTGCCGGTTCACTGCATTCACTGGCTGAGAGACAAGGGAACCGGGTTCAAGGGTTGCACGAGCAAGGGGCGCAGGGTGTAGAGGGTACAGCGTGGGATGGGAAGGAGCATAGACGGGAGGGGCACGCGGCTCCCATGGATTAGAGGCAGAAGGAAGGGACAGCAGGGAGGGAGGGGCATTAGCAGCCATTGCAGCAGGATTGGTGGACAGCCGGGGGGAGCAGCGCAGCAAGGGGAGCTCACAGTGCCTTGTTGGATCAGCAGGGAAGTGGGTATTGGGGGGGTGGGGTGGGCCCAGGGGGGAGGGCCAAGGAGGAGGGGGCAGTGGAAGGGAAGACACTCACAGCCCCTCGTTGGATGAGCAGGCGAGCGATCTCTGTGTGGCCATTGGCTGCTGCCATGTGCAGCGCTGCATGCATGCATGCACACATGTCACAGGAAGGGGGTGTAGGGAAGGGGTTATGCCATGTGCAGTGATGCACACATGCATTCATGCGTGGCACAGGGAGGGGGCGTGGGAAAGGGTTATGCCATGTATGCAGGCATGGAACAGGGTGGGGGTGGGGGGAAGGGGTTTCGGCATGTGCAGCGCTGCATGTACGCATGGCACACTGTGAAGAAAACGGAAGAGGCCAGGTGGGGGATGGGGGATGGGGGATGGGGGATGGGGGGGAGGGGGGAGGGGGAGGAGGATTTCAAATCTACGCACCCAGCTTTGGCCCCCTTGGATTTAAGCAACCCTAACGCGTGCTTGCAACCCTAAGCCACACCTGCGCAGCACTCATCCCCTCCCCCACCTGTACGCCCCTCATCCTCCCCCCCACCTGTGCGCCCCTCATCCCCTCCCCCACCTGTGCGCCCCTCACCCCCCCCCCCCTCACCTTGCGCGCCCCTCACCCTCCCACTTCCGAGCTGTGCGCCTCTCATTCCTCCCTTGCCTGTGCGCCCCCCATTATCTCCCCTCCCCCACCTGTGCGCCCATCATTCCCCCCCATTTGTGCCCCTCCCATTATCCCCTCCCCCCACCTGTGCGCCCCTCATCATCCGCCACGCCAGCATCCGCTCCCCCGTCCAGCGCTGCTGCCACGTCCTCCATGTCCCCGTACCGCGCCCCCTGCACATGAGCGGGGAGGAGAGGGGGGAGACCGGGGGGAGATCGAGGACAAGGGGTAGACAAAGGGAGGACAAGATGAGGCGAGAGGGAAAGGGCAAAGAAAAAAAAAAACGGCGCCAAAATCGGGGGACGGAAATTGGGCGGGATGGGGGGCAGCAGTGGGGTAGCGGGGGGGGGGGGGGAGAGGAAGGGAGGGAGGGCGCGGGGGAGACGACGGGGCGAGAGGAGGGGGAGACGATTTTTCCCGTAGAATCTGCTAGATTTCCGGGAAAATAAATAACATACTCTTCCGCGCACCTGAATGAGGAGGTCCGCCAGATCTTCCGCCGCTTCCGCCATCACCGCGGGGGGGGCAGCGCCGTCGGACGGCGCGCTGGGGTCGGCGGAAGAAGTGCTTTGCGCAGGCGCGGACTCCCCGAGGGAAGCCTCCCCCATTCTCTGCGCTTGGGAGTCGTCGAATGCGACTCTTCCCATCAGGCGGTAATACTACCTTCTATTTACTAAGTCGCAACGGCGGAAAAGGGACGATGACAAGGTCCGAAGATGATAAACAGCGGAACACGAACTCGTCAGCGCTTTTCTCCGATTGGTGGGCACTGGGCAACGAAGAACGAGGTGAGCGGGGGCCGCGGAGGGCCGCCCAAGTAACCCTTCCTGGTGAATTCTTAGGACGTGATACGAGTGAGATTTCCCCGGATTGCGCATGTTGGTCGCAGGCTACGCAAATCCGAGCCTGGATCTCAAACAAGCGTGGCACCGGGAGACTACACCCGAATCCCCGACACTCCCTGCAACTCCAGGTTTGCAAAAAGACGTTGGGCAACTCCAGGTCTTTCGTCATAACCCTGGAAACCAGCTGCGAAATTCGCGAATAGAGACTCCAGTCTTCGCGGGCTACGTTTTCACAAAAACCTGGCTTTTGCAGGCGTCGGATCGATCGTAGCCCAGATCATACACGCTCCAGGATCGCTTCTGCGCAGAATTGATCGCACCGACTGCCATATCGATCGCAACCTCCTTTCCTGCTTCGGTGCGTTTGTGGTTGGAATACTGTTCTGACGCAAAGTGGGTAAGTGAACAACGTTTCAACTCACAACATATTTCTTGCAGCATTGTACCAGTTGAAGGTACGCTTCTACCGCGTCCGCGCCTTGGGATCTACCCATCTTTGAAAACCACACAGCGAAACCTAGATTCTTCAGTTTCACTTCTTTCGCTCAGCCATCCCTTGGATTGTGAGCAAATCGTCAGGGCTTGCCATTGCCATGCCAGCTTGCTGTCTGTCAAAATCCCGCATCCTCCTCTCTCCGTTTCCTTAGATAGCTACGCGCGCCGCATAAAAGCATTTACCCCCACGCAATGGAGGACTCTATCTATAGCTGGGACACGTGGCCCTTCAAAAAGCTCACATGGGCAACGCAAATCCCTTGAATACCACCCCATTGGCTATTCAGATCTACTGGAGAACTTCACAACATGCGAAGAAAGTCGCGGACAATCGCTCGAAGTCTAGAGACCGTCTCGAGTTCACCTCACAACCTAGTAGGTAGCACTTCGCCACTCCAGAGCAGTAGATGGCTCATTGTAAATCCATCTTTTGGGACGCCAAGTCGTGAAGTTGCATCTGGGGGTGTTTCCAGTAGCAAAAAATGGATGCTCGCGACGAAAATCTGTCTACGTTCTTTGAGCTACTGGATTCCGCCATGTCAAACCGCTTGCCAGCGGTCGAGCTGCAGGAGATAAAAAAAAGAATGATGTCCGATTTGCTTGCGAGGAGGAAGCAGCGTCCGCAATCCTCATCATCCACGAGGCCGCGCCTGTCAGACGACATTACCAATGCTAATGTCATCGTTAGCAGTCCTGCGTCTCCTGAGATCCCTCGCGGCCCTGCTCTCAGTGCAGCAAGTGAAATATCGAGAAAGAACACAATAGCCGAGGAGGTGCAGGTGAGCTAACATATAAGCTGGCTATTGTTTTTTTTTTTTTCCTTTACCTGATCCTATTACAACTCTTCTCATCCCTGGATCTCTCCACCCTGCTGACCTACCCCCCTCGTCCCGCCTCTCAGCTCCTCGACTCCCGGCTGGATCAAGACAGACTGCTGCAGCTGTTCCAGACGGATCTAGGTTTTGACGGCGAACTGCCTGTTTCAGCATGTGTGATGTACAATGCTCTCGTGCACTGGCGCTCCTTCGAAACCGAGTCTAAAGATGTGTTTGACAAGATTATGGGGATCATGAGGGCTGCCATTGGCGCTCAGGATCCATCTGCTGCTCCTGGTGCGGATGCCGGCGTGGCTCCTGACGCACAGCCTGAGGCTGCGAGATTTGGTGCCGGGGAAGATGAAGATGCAGTGGGGAGTATTGACAAGCTGGCGTATTGGCTAACGAACGCAGCTTCTCTGCTGCTTCTGCTCCTGAGATCTTTCTATACTGATAAAGTTCCACGGGAAATGGCGGCATTTCGGAAGGTATGTGTGCAGAGGAGCGGCAGCAATTTGTGGACGCCTCTTTTTTGCTCCCTTGCATCAGGTGCCATTTGCGAAGGAGAGGAAATTCAGGGGATTGGGTGTTGGGACGGTATGTTAAGTTGAGCGAAGATAGGGATTGTCGCTCAGTGTATTTCCATCAGTACGCTTAATCAAGTGTTCGTCAAACACTTTTCACTTCAACCTTTACTTTCTTGCAGGCAATTTTCAGCCCAACTGTCCCATCTGAGGACGAGATAGCTGCAGCGAAGGCTGATGGGGTGCAGCTGGTAAAACCCACATTTCCAGCTCTGCTCTTTGGGAAGGAGCTAGCAGCGTACGTGGAAAAGGTGTATCTGTTCTTCGCAAACAATCTCAGGAACGACGTTTCACCGATACTGGTTGCCGGCTACGAGGTATGGGTATGCATACTGTTGTAAGAGTGTGTTGATGTGCGTTTGTGTGTGCGTGTGTGTGTGTGTGTGTGTGTGTGTGTGTGTGTGTGTGTGTTTGTATGTGTGTGTGTGTGTGTGTGTGTGTGTGTGTGTATGGATGTGTATGTATCTGTGTGGATATGTGTTTGGCTGTTGTATGTGAATGCATGCGTGCGTGTGTGCGTGTGGATGTGTATGTGCGTGTTTTTATGGGGAGGGGGGAGGAACATCATGCTTTATACGATCTTCCCATCTTTATTGTCTGTGTATTGGCTTCCCATGCTCACCTCTTCAGGCCAGTACTCGTATTCTGAGGAATTCAAATCAGCAGATCCCACGAGCAGCAGCTCAAAGCCAGGCGATCTCAATACCAGCAGCAGAAGCACGGTGGAGCCTTATAACCATGAAGCTTTCAGAAATGCTCAACATACTGAAGATGAACCACGTGCCGGCCTTCCTCGTCAGGACCCTCTTCCGACAGATCTATGCACTCATCAATGCCGAGCTCTTTAACCGGTCAGTTGAAGTATCCCGTTGCAAAATTCTGCTGCTTGCGTATGCTGGCTGCTTGAGCAATCGAGGTGCTTGCGATTAGGCTTCCTTTGAGTTTTTCAACTGCTTGCGCTGCATACGTTTAAAGCTGTTTACAGTTTAAGTGCGCTTGTTTAGCTTCTTGCATACCCATGTATGGAACCAACATCTGGCATTCTGTTATCTCCTTTGACATCTCTCTCTGTTGGCCTCTCTTTAACCAAACCCATGCTGTAAAATCCAACTTCCCCCCATCCACAATTCCTTTGTGCCTCTCTCAATCCCCCCCATCCCCCCTCCCCCTTTTGATTCGGGCTTGTTGCTGCTCCTGATCTTTCCAGTGTTTTGCTTTATCGTCACTTCTGCAACTTACATTTCGTCGAGGCGTATTTCAAGGAGGGGTTGACGGAGCTGCAGCGGTGGACCGCTGCCGCCACTGACGTGTATGCAGGTGGCGCATGGGACCAGCTGCAGCACATCAGGCAGGCAGTGGAGTTTATCGTACGTGCCAATCGCTGCCACTCTCTGCTTCCCCATCACCTGCCACTGCTGTGGATGCTGGCTGGCAGGCATTCCCCTTTTTCACCTTAGACTTTGCATGATATTTTTCGCTATTTTTGTCCTTTAACCATGTTTTGCTGTCCTTTCTGTATTGTACCAACCCTCTCGTGCCCCAACCTGTTCCAACTGACAGGTCCTTCCTGAAAAATCTGAGATGACACTGGAAGAAATACATTCGCACTTTCCTGCTTTGAGCATGCAACATCTCTACCGCATCGGTGGCATGATCCCCGCTAGCTATCACAGTGCCACCTTTGTGACTCGTGCGATGATGGATGCTATTCATGAGAAGTGCAAGAAAGAGGTTGCTCGTTATGACACCGATTCCTTCCTCCTTGATACTGACCGTCGGTGAGTGATGCTCCAGCTGTCCCTGTTTTATTGCGCTTGTGCTATTGCTGCTGACCTTGTTTGTCTCGCTACTGCTGTCGTTCCAAAGATGCTTTACGGCCCAACAATATCTTCTCCACTTGGTCGCTGTGTCCTACCCTCCCATCCTTACCTTTCACATGTCAGCATCCCGTTTTCAGTAAGTGACATGTACAAGGAGCAGCCCAGAATCTCCCTCAACGATCTACTAGTGCCTCCCCACTTTCCTTAGAATTTTGTTTACCGTATTTGACAGGCGCAGCTGGATATTCCTTCTCGAGCTACGTACATGTCTGTCTGGTCGTTTTCTGTCCACTCCACAAGCATACTCCATGTTAGTTTAGCTGGAGTTGTGATTATGGGCACAATTGGATAATGTACAATTGGTGTGGCATCAGCAGCATAGTACACCAGCTTTGTTTTGTAGTGATAGTTGCAATAGACAGTTGTATTACACAGCATGGATGGTAAATAGATATAAGAAAAGGACATGTTGACACGAAATCGAGTTGAAGTTTCATTAGTTGAAATCTTTGAAAACTTGTGTGACTTCTGGTAAGGTGCACACGAGTATCAGGAGAGGTGCTAAACATTTGAAGTACCAGATTCCCGATTTTCAAGTATTGCGACAGCCTACAGAGGGTAAAGAGGTGCGTCAGAGCTCTGCTATGATTGGCGGAAAGAAAACTGAGACTAGGGTCTAAAAGGGCGTGTTTTGAAGAGCCTCGAAACGCGGTGGACAGTTGAATCTTTGCGCGCCTCAAAATGCGCGATGCTTGTCTTCCAGCAGTTTCTGACCGCTGCTACCTGTAGAAAGCACTTTTTGTAACAATTCAAGCAGGTAGTCTCATTCTCAGCGTATTAGCGAACGGAGGCCACCCTACCTTGTGGTCTGCACCACGTCATCACCTGCTGCCATTTGGAAGTCGCATCACTAGGTAACCTAGATTTCACCAAACAACAGCAAGCGTGGGATTCACAAGGCTTGTGGTGCACCCTCAGCTAGGTGCCTGAACTAAAATTCTGCGAGGACGGCTTGCCGGCCTTCTCAGAGATTAACCTGATCCGCTGTT